GCGCATCTTGCTCACTTTCAGGGCACAGCGATGATCCCGTCTAGGCATCACAAACCCATCGTGCGTAACCTCAACTCAGCTCAACTGTATTTATAGAGCACTTTAAAACAGCCATCGCTGTATACAAAGTGCTGTACATGGAGCAAATATCATATATACAGCAATAAAACAATAAATTAATAAGAAAAGCGGTAGAAGGCACAAAACAGTAAAACTAAGATCAAGTCTGAGTCATGCCGAGTCAATGGACAAAGAATACAAATGAGTTTTGAGGGGAGTTTTAAAGATGGGCAGCGAGGGGGCTTGCCGTATGTTTGGCGGGAGGTCATTCCAAAGAGAGGGTTCATGAAATGAAAATTCACACATATCTAAAACAATACTCATCACACACATATTCAAGCAGGAAGAAGTCAAAATCAAAAAATTTCTCAGGTAAATTTCCAAGCTTATGCCATTCTCTATTAAGTGGTTCATCTCAAAGTCGACTTCACTCTCATGCACGCGATCTAACAGCTGATCAGAGTGATCAACTGTCAGAGATAGTGATGCCATTTTGTAAACTACGATCAATGGCTCATTCATTCAAATCATTCCAAAAACGCATAATAACACAAATGTCTCTGAATTCATCACAATTCTAAATGTTGCTTTTTACATTGGTTCTTTCCTGCTTGTATTATGAATGTGTGTGCAAGATTGGTAAATGTCTGCATTTTATTTTATGACTGGATGGTCTAATAAAGAAATAATTCTCGGCCATGTTATTTGCTTGCTGTGGTGAAAAAAAAACGAATGATTTTGTTTTGATGTTCATAGTAACAATTGAATGTTATTTACTTGATTGGGGGTAGCCACAGAGTGACATGTGGTGGCTATGGCAATCCCTGGCCAGGATGTAGCAGATTCGTCAAGTCAAATTCAGAAAATTGTGGGACTGAAAATGCTTGCGATATCAATGAAGTTATGGCACTATAAAAGACATTGAACACTTTCCCACTTTGCAAAAAAAACAGCCAGTCCTGTTCTATTATATTGCCGCATTTCCATAAATTTTCTATCCTGCTTTTGGTCATGAGGGTCACCCGTGCAGGCACAGGGTGAACATGCAAGCAACACACACGAGGGGCTGAATCAAGATTCAAACCTGCAACCTCTTCACTGTGGGGCAGGCGTGCTCGCTCCACTCCAATTACCATAATGCAACTGAAATATTGGCATGAGCCTGTTGGCCACAGAAGACATTTGAGATAAGACTGACAGTAATAACAAAACTCCTCACCAACCTTTCCCCTAATTTACCTGGAGAATCTTCACGGCTGTGTTCCCTTAGTGGTGCCACTTGCTGTTGCAGCCTCTGGGAAAAACTGTGGATGTACTTGAAAGCACGATGTGGACCTAATTTCACTAATTATGTGACTAGTGACTTGTGAAGGTAATTAATTGCATCTGAACTTTTTAGGGGCTTCATAACCAAGGATGTGATTACATATGCACAAGCCAATTTTCAGTTTTTCATTTAAAAAAACTATAAACGAAACGTAATTTTCAGACTGTAAAGCGCCCCCTGATTAAAAGCCAACAGCTATATTTTGCAATAAAAACAAATGTGTAAATAATTGCCACTTCCCTTTATTAGCCACGGTTCTCCACGCCTTCAGCAGAGATTGACAGACGCACGTCTTGCTGATGTTAAGATATGATTCCTCTCTGTTAGCTGGATTTGAAAGAAACAATGTAGAATGCTGTTGAAGGTATTTCCTGCTTACTGTGATTACAATCACCTTTGGTACCCCCTCACCCCCACTACTTTTATGACCCCTCCAGAGGACATGTCAGCATCAAAAGAGGAACTGTTATCTCAAGTATCTGTGTTGCAGCTATTGAGGGACTGCGCTTTGCTATGAGTACTATTGATCTCAGTCTCTTTCCTGAACATCTGTTTGCACACTTAAAACAACATATGTAGTGTTAAAGTTTATCTTCTTCCTCCTTGGTTGATTAACGGCCCCCCAAGTGTCTCTTCTGTTGTGCCCCCGCACCTTGGGTCGGTCCCTGATCGCTGTTAAGCCCCTCTGGGAAGACCTCTTATCTCAGGATGTATGCACAGCGGGGGTTCTGGAACTTGCCATCACACCAAATGGTGGGTAGTGGTGGTTTGGTCTCACCTCACCACTCCCAACTTCTTACAGCCACGCCGGGTCAGATGTCATGTTACTTTCTTTGTTTCCGGGATTTGCATAAGAGGCGTACCTCCCGGCCTCTCATTATCATATTGTCTCTATATAATCTCATGAATGTGTTTCTTCTACACTTCCTGATTCAAATCTGGACCCCTCAGGAGCCCGAATCGATTCGTAAACTGCAGAAAATAAATTAAAACCCTTCGAAGGAACTGTACATCGCCTCCAGCCTTTATTTGGATTACCAACATTCTCCTCATCCGAAATTCAATGAACACGCGGGGAAGAGGAGGCCACTCTTCCCCCAACACTGACGAAGGATGAGAAACTTAAAAACAATGATGTACTACGCAGTTGAGGGAATTGGACATGCATCTATCGGCGTGATCATCAAGTACCGACGGACCTTTAAGTCCTTCACTTTTGGACTTTCGTTTCACTAACAACTGACAGCAACACGCCCCGCCTGTCTCGTGTTGTTTGTTGGTGGGATTGCTTGAGTGGACTGCATTAACTACATAGGGAAACGCTTCGCACTTCTTGTACAGTAGGTGGCGGTATGCTCCAAAGCGCTGTAATCCGCCAATGAAATAAGGACAACTTTCATTGGTCCACTGCGACACATTCGGTATTTGTCTTCATCAGACTTGACGAGACAATTTGTAAATCTATTGATGGTGTAAAAATTCTGAAATAAAATGTGTCATATTTAAAGCGGCAGGGTTAAAAGGATGGAAAAAAATGGAAGTGGCTTATAGTCCACAAAATATGACATTTCTCATTTCACTTATTTGTATAGTCATTTCAAATGTGAACAGAATGCGTCCGTATTCAAGCATTATGCTGGATAACAAGGATACAGTATTGAATAATTGCTTTATATGACAGAATTTGAACATTTAACCATGTCCCTGACATCCGAAACATACTGCACGAATAGGCCAAAAATGGCACTAGTGGTAGAAACATTTTGCTAGTACAACAGACGCTCTGCTAATGCCCCCTGGTCGTTTTAGTAGTACACTGAATTACAAGTGTGGACAAAAAGCGTACTAGTAGCCCACGTGCCTAGACGAGACATTGTTCATGAGTCTTTCCACGGCCTCTACCACTTATGGAACAGGCTGATTCAGCTAATTCAGAGCAAAGGGTACTTGCTTTGCGTCCAACTGCACCTAAACGCAGCAGGAGTCACAGTAATATTCGCTGCGTGTGGCAGGCAGGCACGTTGCATGGTGACTCACAGCTGAGTCACAGCGTCGTGTCTCCGCCTACAGTCCTACACGGCGGCGGTGGCCAATAACGCACAAACGGTAGCCGCCACGGCAGTGAGCTGTCACGCTGCACAGCCAACCATCCCCCACAGTCTGACTGTGCGCGGTTTCGGGGGACGCCACAGCGACTTGGGGGTGGTTCTGGAGTCTTAGACAGTCACAGTGTGTGTGCACATTCAGTATTAAGGATGACCTATTGTACTACTGTATTAGTATGAAATTAGTACGTAACTTGCTGCACTTGATCGCTTCATAAAGGACTAACTATTCAAGTCACATACTTTATTCAACAACACACTACGCGAACATTTTCAGCAAGTGAAATAGAATAAATGAGGGCGATTGCAGAAGCCAGTTTTCATCAACCTTTATTCACAACTTTTCTGTCCCTCAATCATATTGTCAGACATTTGCATGACGATTCACTCGGTCTCATTCATGGCTCCAACAGCAGCCATGAAACCAGAGAGGCTGAAAAACTTTTGATGTGTACTGACCTCCATTGGCAATCAGATGGAACTGCAACCACACGAAAATAAATAGTAATACGACACGATGGTTGATTGATTGTTTTTATTGCCATCCTGTCAACTCATACGGTTTAGCCATAGTTCATACGGATTTTGTGGTGAATCTTACGTATATGGCCATATCGCACAAATCATACGGATTCTGAAAAATTCCGGGTTTTTTTTTTCCCTAACAGGTAGTTCCGTTTGCTTTTGCCCAGAATGGTGCTAGTCTACTCGAATGCTTTCATTTCCGGTAACTTTCCAGTAAATCACGTGGTTCCTAGCTGAAAACAGCAGAGTATTCATTGCATACTTCGGTAGTGTACAAGCCAGTTCTACAAGGAAACAAATATATCATTCATATTTCGTGGGTTTTTTTCTGCCGTTATTTTGACATATAAAATGCTTTGGTATGTTATAAGGATTTTTTGCTCTTTATTAGGATTTTTTTTGGTAGTTTATAGAGGTTGGCGCTCCGAAAAGTTGACAGGTATGTATTGCGAACATGTAAAAAACAAAGTAATCATCAAATTAAAATTGAAAAAAGATACAACTTCATATATATATATATATATATATATATATATATATGGGGGGCGGGGGGGGGAGGTCGGTAGACGAGTGGTTAGCACGTTGACTTCACAGTGCAGAGATATTGGGTTCGGCTCCAGCCTTCCTGTGTGGAGTTTGCATGTTCTCCTCGTGCTTGCGTGGGTTTTCTCCGAGTACTCCGGTTTTCTCCCACATTCCAAAAACGTGCATGGCAGGCTGATTGAACACTCAAAATTGTCCCTAGGTGTGAGTGTGGGCGCGAATGGTTGTTCATTTCTGTGTGCCCTGCGATTGGCTGGCAACTGATTCAGGGTGTCCCCCGCCTACTGCCCGAAGACAGCGATAGGCTCCAGCACCCCCCTGCGACCCTAGTGTGGATCAAGCGGTTCAGAAAATGAATGAATAATATATATATAAATTAGACTGCAAATTTCCCCAGTGTGGGACAAATAAAGGTTATCTTATAATATATTGTAAAAGTATAGTTATTTTCATTATGTACCTGTATTGCCTTGACATCAAATTAAGAGTCCCCATGATGTGGGCCACGAACAACGAGTTTGTAAAATTACTGCAGTACTGTAGTTGCTTCACCATGGACAGTTCCATTTTTATCTGACCATAAAGATAACTTTAACAAATGTTTCAGTTCATGTTTTTGAGTGTGGAATCGTGGAGCTGTACAAATACTTTTGCTGTTTTCATCACCAGATGACGTGGACCAACACATTTTGTTTGTTGACATTTAATCCCCATGTATAAAATGGTTCGCTCCACCTGTAGCCGCGTTTGCCAAAAGCCAAAAGCTGCAGCAAATCTCTCGCCAGTGTCTTACTTTGAGCTCCAACTTACTGCAAAGATGAACTACAGAAACCGCTACACTTCGTCCTCCTACCGCAAGATTTTCGGGGACTCCTCCAGGTTCTCCGCCTCCTCTCGTATGAGCAGTTACGTGCCCCAGGTCTCCCCCGGGCTCAGGTCCATGGCCGTGTCCCGAAACAGCACCTCTTCCGTGGGCATGTTCAGACGGCTGGGCCAACCTCCGGCCTCCTTCTCTCTTACGGCCACGGACTCCCTCGACTTGACCCAGACTTCAGTGGTCAACAATGAACTCAAAGTAATTCGTACCAACGAAAAAGAGCAGCTGCAGGTATGTGACGTCATTGAAAAAAGGTGGACATTTTTTTCAGTTTTTATTTCGTTAATGTGGACTCCATAACAAATTGTGGCAGCAAAAGCACTCATGTACTGTACTTCAGTAAGAGTAAGATGATTTTAAAAATAAAAAGAATAAAAAGTAAAAATACTGATTCAACTTCTGTACTGAAGTAAAACTTTTTTTTTAAATGCTCTGAAATGTACAAAAAAAATTTTAAACCGTCAATTAGACCAACAACAATTTTGATAACATATGCACAATGAAAAAAAACGCACGTGAAATAATTAACGTTAATGTCATTAACTTGCGTAGCTCGCGCAATGAGACGGAAATTCACTACAGACGCTATCATCAAAGCATGTTTTCATAGCTTTGCTCACATTTTGGAGTGATTTACAAAAATGCTAAGCTACCTGAATTAATATCGCATTACACAACATATTACTATAGTACATGTATTATTTTTATTATATCCTCCTGACTACCAGTAGTTCAAATTTGTCCTCTGTAGAGGACATTTGTGAACCTAAATATCTCCCACCCAGTGCCTCCAATCGCATTAACTCCTTTTGCTACTCTAAAGAGGACATTCAGTGCTTTCCAATGATACCAAATTTGTAGGGGTTAGAAAAAGTAAGAAAATGGCTTCCCTCAGTGCAAGCACTTTTTATGGGAAGAGGAAAAGTAATACTTTTTATCGACCACATTTTGTCTTGAAATGCTGTTGGCATTTTATTTATAAGACTCTTATGAACACGTTAAAGTGTTGTTTGAGTTGTTTTAAGCGTATTTGAGCCTGTTTAAAAAATGTAGTGGGATTTCAAAAATTTCTTTTGGAGGAGTCCAATTACTTCACATAGATTGGGGAATGTCAAAATAAATGTGATTGGACAACATTTTTTTTCCTGGTAGTCAGGAGGATATTATGAAAACCTGATGTCCTTTAGGGGGGCAAAGTGATAGATTTTGGAATTAGTTTTGGAATTAATTAATCTTTTGTAGTTTACTTGCATCTCTGATTTGAAAAATTTAAAACATTTTTGACGGTGTTAACTGATAATTGAAAAAAAATACTTTTTTTTTTTCGAATTAGATGAGGAATTTTTGAATGCCAGGTGATGGTACGTTTTAGACTGACACAAGACAATTTCACTACAAACATTTCGAGTAGACGAGACTCATCACAAATGTACGGTATTTAAAAAAGGCGCAAGGGGAATATCTTGTTTCTCTGAATATTTTGTCATCGTTATTGCTCCTTGGTTCACGTTCCTCCCTGTCACTGCTGTCCCAATTTTCTCAATCTGGTAACACCAGCAAAGTCTAAAGTGCAGTGGATTTTGCCTTTCCCTTTTAAGTCGTGTCATCATCCGTGGAGATAGAAAAAAGTAAGCAGCCTATTTGTTGTCTCTTTGTGATAATCTGTTTTCAGGTGCAGGGAGTAAAAGTAAAAAAATATATATCACAAAAACGAATACCCAGCTAAAGTACAGATACATGAAAAATATTCTCAACCATAGTAACAAAGTATTTGCACCTCATTACTTCAGCCCATTGTGAAAACTCAAAAAGTGAATATCCACATACAGAAAACAACCATGTCCAATAAAATGCACTTATTTGCCACATTACATATTTGCACAGTCTCGTGATTCCCAACCTTTATTCAGCCAAGACACACTTTACATTAGAAAAGTCTGAACAGCACATCAGTGACACTACCAACAAAACTATCACAAAGGCTTGACTGCCCCTAATATTTTCTTGCTTCAGTCCTTCATCATCTGCATTCAAACCACCAGCAGGGATGCTCCTACTGTACCTGAAAACACAATACTGTTTTGAGACCAACGACCAATTTAATATGGTTTAACCACATCTCTTTTAATGGTCCCCCCTACAGAAAAGCAAATCCCCATTTTAGGGCATCCCTTAACATAATGTACCGAGAAAATGTCAGCAAGGTCAACAAAAACAGGTAAAAAGTAGCAATTATTAGCCTGCAGGCTACCCAACATCTTAAACAGGTTAAGGTTAACGTAGAACAATGCAAAAGACCAGCAGCTGGTACCAATGAGGCATTTGTTTTTGTTGCGTAGGGTCTGAATGATCGCTTCGCCATGTTCATTGACAAAGTCAGACACCTGGAGCAGCAGAATAAAGTACTGGAGGCCGAGCTGGTGACGCTGCGGCAGAGGCAGAGTGAGCCGTCTCGGGCCAATCAACTCTACCAGCAGGAGATGAGGGACTTACGGGCCCAGTTGGAGGACCTAAACAGGGACAAGAACCGCATCCTGATTGAGAGAAACAACATGGAAGATGAACTGCAGGTATGAAAGGAACCATGACCGTCTGTACCATCAAATGACAAGGAGGAGTCTTTGAGCCACGCTGTTAATACAGTACAAGATGAAAGTCATAACGAAAGGAATGCACTCAAAATATGATGGAATCAATGTTTTCAATACGATGATGATTAAAATGATAGATTTTAGATAGACCTATAGACTGAAATCATCCCCTTTTGTAGTTTCTTTAACCCAATCTACCTCAAAGTTTTTCGAGCATATAATTACCCGATTACGATATGGTCTGTTTGTATCCAAAGAAAAATGTTCCATCCATCCATCCATTTTCTAATCCGCTTATCCTCACAAGGGTCACGGGGCATGCTGGAGCCTATCCCAACTGTCTTCGGGCAGCAGGCGGAGTACACCCTGAATTGGCTGCCAGCCAATTGCAGGGCACACATAGACAAACAACCATTTGTGCTCACACTCACACCTAGGGACAATTTTGAGTGTTCTATTGACCTGCAACGCATGTTTTTGGAATGTGGGAGGAAACCAGAGTACCCGGAGAAAAGCCACGCAGGCACGGGGGTAACAAGCAAACTCAACACAAGAAGGCCCGGGCCGGAATCAAACCCTCCACCTCTGCACTGGGGGGCCGGCGAGCTAATCAGTCACCCACCGTGCCGCCCAGAACAGAATTCATTTCATTTTAATATTGTGGCTGTATTTTGCATTTTTTTTTTCGAACCCAGATTTGTCAAATAATATGGTGAATACAATTAGTTATATGAGCTACTCAAAAATATTAGGAACAGCACTCAGTATGATACAGTTCGGCTGTACAGAACGCTACAGACAAATTAATACATATAACCAACAAATACATTTTTAAATAAAATGTTTCCCTTTCAGTTTTAAGGACTGGACATCGAAATTCATTATTTACTGCATCACATTTGTCCATTTTTTTGGGGGGGGGTCTCCATTTTAGAAACTCACTGTCAAGTATCAGGAGGAGTTGACTGTGCGTGAAGAGACAGAACAAACCTTGCGGTCCTTCCGGAAGGATGTGGATGACGCGGCAGCCATTCGTCTGGATCTGGAGCGTCGAGTGGAATCGCTGATGGATGAAATCTCCTTCCTGAACAAAGTCCACGATGAGGAAATCCAGGAGCTGAGCAGCCTGATGGAAGCACAGCAGGTCTCCGTGGAAATGGAACTCTCCAAACCCGACCTCACCTCAGCTCTGAAAGAGATCCGCAACCAGTACGAGTCCATCGCCTCCAAAAACCTGCAGTCGGCTGAGGAGTGGTACAAGGGGAAGTTCGCCAGCCTGAGCGAACAGGCCACCAGGAGCAACGAGGCCATGCGGGCCAGCAGGGAGGAGATGAATGAGTTCAGGAGGCAGCTGCAGGCCAAGACTCTGGAGATCGAGACTCTGAGGGGTGCCAACGAGTCTCTGGAAAGGCAGACCACAGAGATGGAGGATGCTCACAATTCTGAAGTCACAGCATTGCAGGTGCGCAATACAGTGAACTCCCGTTAATCGTGCGATACATTCCAAAACCTCCCACTTTAAACACATTTCAACTTACTAAAACACACAAACTTTCCAAAACACCTTTTTTTAAGTATTCCTCCGTGTTTGTTCACGCACTCGGGTGATTTAAGTTCAACACAATAAATAGCGGCGGGCCGGTGTTCCCGGTGTCACTTGAACCTGACCATGCAGCAGCACAGCAGTGAAGGTTGCGATTGTCTCCAACTAATAGGATTGAGCAGTTCAAACTCATCAATTATGTCACAGCTTGAGGTCCATTAGGTAAGAGCATCCTTCAAGGTGGCCCCAACTTGTCAATGTCACAGCCAAGTTGAGCAGAAACTAGCTGGCGAAATCTAACCTATGACATATTCATGCTCACCTTTTTGAGATGATCACCTCATGTTTAGTCCCGGGTCCAAATTGCTCTTGTCTTCCAATAAATTCAGAATACATAATGTATTCAGATTTCTTAGTGAAACAAATGATTGTATCTAAAATATTGCCTGAAAAAGGACAATATTGTGCTCCAGAAATGAATTAAAATTTAATCACGACTTGATCTCAAGCTGTTCCATCCGGGTGCATGAACATTCGCGGACGGCATGACAAACTCCAAATAAAACTGCTTTAGTGTGGAAGTCACTTGGGCTTAGACAGCGAAAGTTCTTAGTGAACTGATCCTGTGTATCGAGATTAACCCGGACTGCCGCTAAATTGGATACAGGAAGGCCATCTGTTTTCAGCGGCTATTTAGGGAAGTTCAAACGAAGTAAGCCTCAAAGGTTATGCTTGTCGTTTAAAAGACAAAAGTAACCCTTTAACCGTGTGACCGTTCAATGACTTTCGTTTCATCACAATGCTTGACTTCTTCGAACAGGACACGATTGGCCACCTGGATACTGAGCTGAGGAACCTCAAGGGGGAGATGGCCCAGCACCTGAGAGAATATCAGGACTTGCTCAATGTCAAGATGGCATTGGACATCGAGATAGCTGCATACAGGTGGGCGGACATGAAACGATATGATGTCTCAAGATTGTCATGACCATAATCATTATCGGTATTGTAACTAGTATATGTGACTAAAATAAATTTGCCTAAAGCATGACCACAAGGTCAGAATCAGGTGTATGACTGGCTGCCCTGTACATTAATCAAATGACAAAGTTCATAACAGATAATGATGAGAGTCAAATAGTCCACTTGTTTTGTTGTTGTTGTTTTTAACCCTTTCACTGCCGTTGACAGGCAGCTATTGTTTGTTTCAATCGTGTCAAACTGGATGGACTGGCCGTGAAAATGTTCATGCGATGGAATCGGTCTACACTTTCCTGGCGAGCGACTGTTTGATGACACTCGACATAACGGGCATAGTCTAAGTCACAGCAAAGGCACACCTATGCTGTTGGAATGCAGAATTCCAGCCTGTAGGGCAGGGGTGTCAAACTCACTTTTTGTCGCGGGCCACTTCGGAGTTACGGCTTCTCTTGGAGGGCCGGTGCAAAATCTCAATGTTATTTATTACCCATGACAATTTGACATTTCGGTACAGATTTCAGCAAGAATCATGAAAGTTGACACACATGATTTGCTCCCGCGGGCCACATAAAATGACGTGGAGGGCCGGATCTGGCCCCCGCGCCTTGACTTTTGACACCGTGCTATAGGGCCTTCCGAAGCTACGCACTGCCGCTTTAATAGCACAATGAAACCAATCAGGATGGAAAAATAAAGACGTCACTCAAAGCCGGCTAGCAAGCCCGAGATGGTACATCTGAAAGGTTATTAAAATATATATATATATATAATGTGAATAAATATGTACAATTAATTCCATACTGTTACTTTAATATATATGTCCTTTCAACCAACAAGGAAGCTGCTGGAAGGCGAAGAGACTCACTTTAACTCAGGGATGTCTTTCGGAGCCGCCAGTTACAGCTACCAGGCCCGAGCCTCAACCGGATCATCAAGAAGCAGCCAGCGAGACAAAGACGGAGCCAAGAAGGAAAGCGGCAAGGAGGAGGAGAAGGACGAAGCAGACATCAATTCCAACAACTGAAGTCATGGACGCAGGCAGGAAGGGAGACAAATAGCTTGTACTGCATTTCTAAAGTTCTAGTCAGTACTGTGTATGCACAAAAAGAGGAGCCCAGACATCGTGTCCTATGTAAATGTAATTTTTCTGGAGAGATCATTTTAATTTGGAACATTTCAATCTCAAAACACAAGTCAGGCTATAAGTGAATTCGTTCTTTCCATAGTGCACAAGTCTGAAACATGTAGAACATTTTTGGACTCTAAATATTTTTCAAATGGAAGCTTGCATCAAGATGTAAACCAGATGACGTTAACCGATTATGGGGCATTGTATGTTACAACTGAAAAAACAGTAACAATGTGCTAGAATTCTAGTCATCTGTGTCAAAGTGTGTTGGCTAACTTAAACCGTATTCATATACTAAAATATGCTTTTGTTTGCTTATCACTTAAATTTTCAGGCTAATGCTTTTTCTTGAATGTTAGCAAACCAGATTGTGTGTGTGACTAGTGCGGTACTTTCGGTTAACATCAATCTTGATTTCAGAAAATGATGGGTAGTGCCTATAAATATGCTGTAAATCTACACCATAGCTAGACGACTGCATTTCATTGAGGTTTAGGCCTCCCTGCTCACTGTGCGATTCATTTGCACGGAATGATTGAAAGAATTAAAAAAAAACCCAAAAAAAACCCAACGGTTCTGTCTGTTCTCTCGTGTGATGAATGAGACAATTGCAAGATCTGTGCCTACCTTCTCCCCACTGATATATTGCAATGCATAACAACTTTTCTGAAATTGGCAGCACGATGATTTACATGACTGTTTAAGTATAGAGGCATGAAGAACATTCATCAGTTAAAAAGTACTGAAATTCTTTTATTCAAAGCAGTCGCACTGACACCAATCATTTCATTAAATCTGATGACAGTCGTCTTTCACAGAAGTCAATTTCACCTTTATCATGTCTTATCCCAAATAATGTACAAAATTTAAAAAAAACTGAGCTCATCGGTTGCCGGAAAAAAAAAAAAAAAAAAAAAGCACCTTTCTGACCCTGTACCTGGAACAATAGTTAGATTGAGACGTCTTTGGCTCTGGATGGAGGCAGACGCTTTTCTGCTCTGCTCCTATTCCCCAAAAGCACCCTGACTCCTTTGGGCTCAAACCATGCTCCCACTTATGGAGAATGGTGGGACTTTGTGTCCAGTAAGCACAGTAGTAGAAATGCCCTGAAAAAAAGTCTCAATAAAATTCATATTGCTGTCCCGAGTAACTTTCTCCAGTCATTTTGCAGGTATTCTGCCTTACAGGAGGTGTGAAACACTATGAATCATTCCGTTCTTTCCTTTCAAGACAGACAGGACAGGACCAGACCAAAGTGCAGCACCAGCAGACCATCCTAAGGACACATGAAAAGAATGTATCTTTTAGGATAAGCGTGAATAATGCGTGTTTCTTCTGTAACCTATAAATAGCCGACTAAATGTAGACTGAGTAGCAGAGGAGGGCATTCTGTCAGTCTTGACAGAATATTTGTCACTCTGTCACTGACGGATGCCCGTTTTGCTGACGACTGACGATGATTGTCATTGGCTGGCTTTAACTGTCGATCAACGGCAAACTTGAAAGGAGGTCGGTGGTTGGGTGGCCTGAGCTGTACATGCAGTCAAAGTGTGAACATTTTCAATATTAATACACTAAATATTCACATCTAGATATTGATACGATAAATATATCACTGAGCCCTAGTTTTGTTACCCTGCATCATCCAACATTACTCACAGGAATACTCGAGAGCTACTTTTGACTCTTTTTAATCCATTTCCAATTCGTAGAAAGTCTCAGCAAAAGTCTATTTGCCACAATGATGAGACATATTTTAAAGGCTGATGACAGCAGATTCATAAATGGCTGTTGCCGAGTGGAGAATATGAAACATAAAGCGGCACTCTCAGAGGTGAAGGAGAAAAAGCACAACGTTAGCACGTACGTTTATTTTGCTATGCTTGGCAGTGTAACCAGCAATGGTATATTGAAATAGCGTGGAAATCTATGCCGACACTTCACAGAAAAAAAGCCACAAAATTATCTATAAATAATAAGAAAAATAGTGGTGCTTACCTGCAAGGCCTCTGATCCCACAAAATTCTGGACATCTTTCAGTGACTGATACTGATCCAGGAGATGATCTCCACAAACCACGTCTACCTACAAGACACAGAATGGTTAAAAAATAAATAAATAAATAAATAAAGAAAAAAGTGCTTCCACACTTCTACACAATTTATTAAAATGCCTTGGGTTGGTCTTCCTCCATTCTCCTTACATTTATCACAGCAGGTTGCACTGAGGCCAGGAAATTAAAATAAGATGCTAATCATGATCAGGTGCGACAGAATACAAACGATAGACTTGGGCTCGGTGTGAACCTAATCACGCAATGCTTTTTAAGCAACCCAACCTTTGAGCTAAACTCAAATAAGAAATAGTGGCTCTTTGTTGGTGTCACTTAATTGAAAGGTAGAGATAAAACTCAGCCTGTCTGATTCTATGTCACGGCTTTGTTAAGAAGTACTTTAATATCATTGGAATTGTCGCGGTAAGCATAATTGTTCAGGACATGAGATGCCGTTTTCGACTTCCTGTCGAAAAGTTCAATCGCATGACTGAACAATAACGGGCCCCATCCTCTAAAGCTCTGCTATGACGTCACACTGCTCTGTATGCATGTGACAGTCAAGTAGATTCTGCGCTGACCTCTTCCGAAACAACCAGGATCAAGAAGACTCTGCTGACTGATTAAGCTCGTTAAGCGAGTTTGGCGACTCACCTGGCAAGTTGGGCTGAGCTCCATCTTCTTCCTAATGAATAGCTCCACATGGCGAATGGTGGCCTCACCTGACACACGCACATAGGGCCTCTCTAGTGGCTGGACAGCAATGAAGTACAACAGACTACAAATTAACATGTTTCATAAAGTTGTACAGGGGGCCCTCAGTTTACAACACGTCTGTTCCTATGGCGGCGACGAACCCGAATTGGTACCCGAGGCAGAGCACGCCAATCGACCTATCACCTGCGCTAACACAGTAGTAAAATCATAATTACCGTTACTGACATATAAGAAAACGAACACATGAAAAACATCACCGTAATTTCAGTGGAGACTGAGTGTGGCTTGTTTTGTGTGACAACCATGGCTCGAGGAAAAAAATTGAGCGAGTTGGCCACAACTAATGGTCGACCCCAATTTTTTTTCTCCCCTGAAGCATTGATGGCACTATTTTATGCCATTCACACAGACATTTGCAGGCAGCATAAGTCCATTGTACTCTTATCTAAACCCCTCATGATCTTTTCAGTCTATTAGCACTCTCTGTTGGTGAAAAGCTGACACTGCAGACAGTAAGATCGTTATACAGTGATCCCTCGCTACTTCGTGGTTCGTTTATCGCGGGTTCAGTGCATTGCGGATTTTTTCAAACATAAAAAAAAAAAATAATAATAATATATATATATATATATTTTTTTTTTACATATACATGGAGAACAGTACTGTATATGTTGCTCTATGTGACTCGCTGTTGTTTTGCAGCTTCTCGCGGACCGTTTGTGGACTTTAAAAAAAAATTAATTGGACGCTACTTCGCGGAGTTTCGTTTATTGCGGGTGGTTTTGGTCCCCATTAACCGCGATAAACGAGGGATTACTGTATTAGGAGTGGGGCACATTTTGTCAGGTGTTGCCACCGTGTATTGTGTTTTCCCCCCCTGCAAATCGTAGTGTGAATTGCAAGTCAACGCTGACCAGAATCCTCTGAAAAAGCCCTGAAGATGGAAAGCAATTACCTTGTAACTGTTTATCCCCTCTTCAGCCCTGAAACAGAAATTACAGTCAATACATGCTTGGCTCATCGTATAAGCCAGCATCAGAAACATCTGCTAGCACTTCTGCGCAACTTTACCTACGCCATAAATGAGAGCGGAACCTCCAACCTAACCTACAATGTGCGCGGTGACAGCGGTTGACTTGCAAAATTGTGACAAGTAGAATTTCAAAGACATTTTTCTATAAACAACTTAAAGCAATCTTATCATTTTTAGGCTTGAATTGGAGTCCGTTCTCACTCAAGGAAAAAAAAAACACAGACCTGAGAATGACAATGAGTGACTTGAACGACAGTGCTTCCGAAGCAAGTCAAGGAGACTCACCCAACAAAATCCAGCAACAGTGACACATCCAGCTCAGGTGGAATGTTGAGCACACACTGAGGCGTTGAGTCCTTCTTTTGCCTTTTCAACACCACAGGAGTTGCAGTGGAGACCACCACTGTCACACAGAAAGACAAGAACATTGTGACTGCTTTCGCGATCAAACGTGATTATACAAAGTATTTTAATCATATTTTTGATACAGATTTTGTACTGAATCTTACTGTATTATCAATCAATTATGTGGCCAGTTGATGTAAGAATGACATTTGTAATGTGTAATTATAGCCGCTCGTGTAACCTGGTGGCAAACACATCCAGGGATTTCTCGATTGTCACTATTACTACAGTAATATACAATTGATACCAACTGAAAATATACCATGACCTCGAATATACTGTGCTCCAAATTAGTACACCTCAACAGATTTGTTAGAAAACCTTGAATTTTCTTTCAGAAGCAGTTGTTTCGATGTCATACTAAAAACATTTTTAACAGTTTTTTTCCCCAACAAGGCACCCTGAGTTGGCAGCTGTCTTAAACAGCTCCACTATTTAGTTGTTCCCGTCATTTCGTCACCGGGGTTCACTCATTTGTATTGTTTTGTGTCCTGTGTTATTAGCATTTATGGAAAAAACGTTACCTGATTTGGGTATCGCCAGCCCTCGCTTTTTGTAGAAGTTGCACATTTGCTCTCTTTCAACTGCAGTTTGAAACATACAAAGCTTAGGTCAGAAATTCGAAACTGTACAGTAGGGGTGCATCAAAACTTTTTGTTCGAAAAAGAAAAAAGTACATTTTGGGTTTTCAACTCAAAGCCTTGTCATGAAAACAAGGCCAAAATTGGATTTTGTGATGATGCAAGCAACAAAATGAAAGTACTCTGGGTGGGCAAACGATTGCGAAACCCCGGTCTCTGCCTGGCAGTGCCCGTGACGTCCCAGTCATCGTGGCGCAATCCTTCGGAGCTCGGGGTTAAGACTAGTTGGCTGCTGAGGACTGCCTTTCTGGCAGCTGTGAAAGAATGTGCATTGCCTCAAAGGAACCAGAGAGCTCACACTAAGACACATTTGGCAAAGGGCAGAAAATGATCGAGCTGAGGATTTGTTTTCCGGTCTTTTAGGTATTCTGTGTTTTTTTTTGTTTTGGTTTTTGCCCTTGGTGTCCTCAGTTTCAGTTTCGGACAAGAATTTTCTTTTTGGTGCATCCTGAATATACAAATAAAAAATAGAGTAAATTATTGCACCTGTGTTTTTCAGAGTTGTGTGCAGTATGCTTACCCTCCTCCAGGAAAGGAATCATTTTGTACACAATATCCTGCAGTTGTCTGTCGGGCCTGTCAGAAGATTTTTAACAACAAAAGGTAATTCACATAATTGAACAGTGATATGTCAAACTATTGTACCAATATTTAATGCATACAATAATGAATACGGGCAAATATTACAATGGCAAGAAACAAATACCTTATGTTGTAAAGGGGTTGTGTTTGGTGGACTATAATGGTGCATGATGGACACCTGTTGCTGTAGAAAAAATGCTTCACGATGCAACTTTTGCAAACTAAGGAAAGACAAAAAAAAGAGCCAAGTTAGATACAGCCATGATTGTCAACTTTGAAACCTGACGATACGTGTTACTACGAGCATATCATAAATCGACCATATACCAAACAATCGGAACAAAAGATCTAATGATATCCTGTATCATTACCGACAGTGAATACAGATGACTTTAAATTGTGACAGAACAATGACTTTAACTGAAAGGCATTCATTTGTGTTAAATGCATTTATTTCAAATATTGATGAATGGTTAGTGTATCCACTTGTACTAGGATCAAACAATCTGATTGAAAAGGTCAACCATCATGGACATGCAAGCATTACTTCAGTTTAAGAATGTCTGTGTGTCCATAAAGTGCTGAGCAAACATCTTAGAAGACCACCTGCATTTGTGTGACTGTTGTCCTCATTTAGGCATTGGTATTGCCCAATCCCCCCCCCCCCCCCCTCCCAATGGTCTCTAGAAGTTCTTTTGCCAAGATGATTATTGTAATGCTAAATTACAATTATTACCATTATTCATTCATTTTCAAATCCCCCAGTTTACAAAACACTGGGCTGAGCACTGTGACATTACTTACAAAATATTAACACAACTTGACCAAGACGACAAAGTCAAGCTATAAATTATCAGCCATCTCGTTACCTCTGCGCCCCGCGTCCTAGACGCATAATTTTCCCGCGGGACGCACAGTTCCAAATAATGTGCGTTTTTGGGACGCAAGGAAATTTCTCAGTCAAAAAAATAATAAAAATAAAAAATACGGCAGGCCTGAGGATTTCACGGTAACGTCGTTACCGGTAGCGTGTCGTTTCCGTAGCGTCATTTTGACGGTACGGAAAAATCGTTTAACCATAAAAGTCACCGCACACGAGTTGTGACTCTACGTCATAGGTGTCAAACTCAGGTCCTGGAGGGCCGCTGTCCTGCATGTTTTCCAAGTCTCCCTGTTGCAACACACCTGATTCAAATGAACAGGTTCGATGCCAGGCTTCCGCAGAGCTTGCTGATGATCTGATCATTTGAATCAGGTGTGTTGCAAAAGGCAGACTTGGAAAACATGCAGGACAGCGGCCCTCCAGGACCTGAGTTTGACACCTATGGTATAATACAACTAGAGTAGACGTGTGAGTGTTTCTTCCAATTTACTTTCTTTTTGTTTTGTTTTCAGTGTGGGGGGGAGGGGCGTAACACATAACGTTATGTGCGAATGCGGGTTGCTATTTTAGTCCGCAAACTGAGGAATCGCGCGGATGAAAGTTTGAGATAGCGGCGAAAAAAACTCACAAAGGTCTACTCATTACGACATTTAAGAAATGGGAATGCCAGTCTGATTTTTCGTATGAATCGTCCGACGGGCGTATCACTAAACTCCCCTGTGATGTATGCACAGAACGCGAGAGCGAGATACGACGGGAGGCACGATTACGAGGCAAGTTGGTCATTAGATCTATAGGCTAATCGCTATGAAAAATGTGATGAAACAGTATTGGTTATTCTGTAATTTACTGGTTGTAGCATGGTAACTTTATGAATAAAACATTCGTCACAAGGTGTAGTAATGCTAATGTTAACTGTTGGTAGTTGTATTATCTGATTGGTTAAGGACACCAGGAAGTGTTTTGTGTTACCAGGAAGGAGGTGTGTTCTCGTTCGTTCGTGCGGAGGTGCAGACGGGGGAAAATAAAAAGCTCCCTTCAAAGGATTCCATCTCTCCTTTTGCCCATTTTTAAAGTAGACCTATCTACTACAAAACTACGAATCTCTCAATTTACAGAACTAATGATGACGTGTGTTTGATTCTTTCGTCAAATTGATAGTAGATTACACATGCATCGTCTTGGGAAGAGGATGTCAAGCCACATCAATACTTACCTGTATTAATGATTACCAGTGAATTAATCTTTGCAGTGTGAAATTGGAAAAAATACTCTGATTTTATGGTATGCTGTATTCATGATGCCATATGAGTACATCATATTTTGATCCATTAATTTTTTTTGAATAAACCTTGAGTACACAGCTGCTGATGTAATGTTCATTGTTAATGCATAGTTTTCAAACATTTACCCTTGAAACATACTTTTCAGTTTCAGAATTCTTGATTATGAAAATCAGTCAAAATAGAAAAATGGGTTCCCATGATGAACGTTTACGGAACCCAAAATTAGTTTCCGTGGTTTCCCATTGGGTAATCCGACGGAACTGAAAAACGGTTACCGTGAATTTCCAAAATCCTCAGGCCTGCTACTGAATTATTTACATTTTTGCAGCATTTGTTTATAATTGTATGTATATGTTGTTGTTTGTGTTATTATCATATGCAATTGAATAAGTAGACCATTTCAGAATTCGAAATTTGGGACTCTCTAAATGTATAATGGGACTCAGTTTTCTGATCAGCGAGTCCCTGGGACTCGCTGGTGGTAAACTGTAAAATTATCACTGTAATTATAATTTTGAGTGCAGACTTTTGGACCTACTTACATGTGTGTAAACACTCTGTGATGGTGGTGGCATCAATGAGGAAGCCGCAGCATAGGCCACATCGGATGTAAGGGTAGAACTGATTGATGGCAAGCTTCGGCTACGGATACCAAAATGAAAATGTATCAAATCAAATGTTACATCATCAGTCAACTCGGTTTGTTGCTGTCAACCCTGATCATTCGGTGTCTCCAATTGATCCATCATTTGAATTTGGTACAGCCATGAGGGAAAATCAATCGTCCCCCAGAAAATGACAGAAAAAGTGAACACACTTTTAATACCTCGACTTAAAAAGAGAAAATTGGCGACACGGTAGCCGACTGGTTAGCACGTCCACCTCACAGTGCATGGTTTGATTCTGGCTCTGGCCTTCCTGTGTGCAGTTTGCTGCCCCCATGCCTGGGTGGGTTTTCTCTGGGTACTCCAGTTTCCTCCCACATTCCAAAAACTTGCATGGCAGGTTAATGGAACACTCTAAATTGTCCTTAGGTATGAGTGTAAGCGCAAATGGTTGTTGGTTTATGTGTGCCCTGCGATTGGCTGGCAACCCATTCGGAGTGTACAGTGACTGCCTGAAGACAGCTCGGATAGGTTCCAACACACCTGCGACCTTTGTGAGGATAAGCGGATTAGAAAATGGATGGATGGAATTGGACCAACTAATATTATGTGATGTAAATATGTGCATCAAATGATGCAGGTCAGCATATGAGGCTTAGTGTCCAGTCACTCACAGTGCCGCGCTCTTAGTCGACCTAAAACAAGAAATTGAATTTGGAAAGTGTGATATTTTTTTATCCTTGGGAGTATTCGGACGAAAACATTTCACAGGCATCTTCTGACATGACACCTTGGAATTCCTTAACATGATGCAGAATTTTTTAAAATGCATTATATGTCTGGTAGGGTAAAATAGTCTGCAGCTATACATTAAAGTATGCATCGATCATTAAGGATGAAACAATCGTGAATTATGTTCAACTTAATGGCCTCGAAAGATCCTAGAAACATTAGGTAAAAATAACACTTTTGATCATATTCAGGACTGTTCGTGCCCATTTATAAACGATGTTGCACTGCCACAAATCTTTAAGTAGCAATGTATACTTTTAAACCTATTGCTGAACTCAAAAGAACAAGAGCTAGTTGATGACTTGCAGTGTGTAACAGTAGTTACCTCGTCTTCTGAATCGCTGCCCGAGAACCCATGTCTGGTGTTACCACATGGAGAGGTTGACATTCCCAAAAATCGGCGACCCACACCACCCACAAAATAACAATGCCTACTGAGCGTTGTTAAGGTACCGCAAGTAAGAAAAATGAGTCGATCAGTAAAACGTAAGGTTAAAACTACGTTTAGTTTGACGTAGGTGTAGCCCGCCAGCTTTGTACTGCTACTTGAGATTCAAGTTATCCAAACGCAGTCAATTGCACGTGGAAGGCTGGAGTTAGTAAATCACCTCAAAAGCATGCAAAGCGTGTGTCTCGGTCGTTTAATGTGTTACATTAATGGGATAACATGGAGTTACGAGGAGAAGAAGAAGAAGGAGAAAAAAGTCGCGGAGTAAAAGTCAACACGTGTACTTCCTATTGTGACTTGTGTTCGCGGTCTTCTCTTCTCAGCATCTCAGTGAGCAGTGAGAGTAGCGCTTCCGGTCTGTAGTTTTCAGAATAAAGTGTGTGTGTTGCTGTGTCCAAATTCAGAGCCTGGCCTATACGACGGCCGCGTTTTCGATTATGTGACGTCAGTTCCGGCACGACCCGACCGTACGCGGTGTCCAAATTCCTGTAAAGCCCGTCCGAATTCGGTTAATGAGGTCCACGAAGGTGACATAAGGAGGATCCTTTGAAGGCGTCGAAGGACCCAGCCTGCGAATTGTCTTTCGAGAATTTGGAAACCACGTGCAGTCGAGTTGCGCCGGAAGAGACGTCTGGCGGACGAAAATTCAGGCCTTCAGAATACGCAGCAGGCCCCCACCCCCTCAAAAAAAAAAAAAAACACGCACACGCTGCTTGGCCAAGCCCCCCCTAATGTGTTGGTGCTTGTATTGTTTTCAAAAACAAAATCCATCCATTATCGGTATAATTTTAATTTGCGCTATTAATACATATAGATGAATATAGATACTGCACAGACACACACACATTTTGTACATATATCAGTTGGATTCCATTTATGCAGTTCTGATATCTATTGGCCAACATAAGATTGAATGTGAATGGTGAATTCTTAACTGTCCAACATCCTCAAATGTATAAATAAGTAAATACATAAAACCAAAAGGTCTGGGATCCCATGGTGTGCATAGTTCAACCTCATTCAACTTTGTGGCGGCCAGCGGAGCTATCTCCATGTACCTTGACATGTAGTCCACAACCAGCAAGTTGGTCTTGCTTCCGAGGACGAACAAATCTGCTCCTAAATTCTCCCATGGTCGGCCTGGGTACAGCAAATCAGTGGTTCCATCTCTCCGGCAGCGGTCCAGAATCAACTTGTTTAGCTGCTGGCTCAGCCCAGGCCACCATACCGACCACCGCAACCGCTGTCGACGCTTTACCATGCCTTGGTGATCAAGTCAACTTTATTGTCAAATGTGCTCTATGTGCAACATACAACACAGATGAAATTTCTTTCTTCACCACAGGAGAGAGAGGAGCCACTGTGGGTACCTGCGCCGCCATCAACAGAACAGTTAACATAAAATGACAAAATAATACAACGCAACACATAAGACACAGTCATACAATCTTAAACACCTTCGTGCAGTTTGGCGAGAACGTCGTTTCTCATGGTTGAAGGTATGACGAGTCTCTGTCCCTTCAGTGGGATTCCATCATGGACTGTAAGGCACACCTGCTCTGCTCTGTACAGCCTGAGTGCCGGTTCATTTGTTCAGGCCAACCTTCTGTGCACAGCTGCATCACGCGTGCACACACACACTCGGGGTGTTCACACGGCACACATTTGATCCGGCGCCGCACCGATATATTTTGTTGCGATATAGTTTACACCGGAGCAATTTCTGTGGAGCGTTCACACGTACAACGCCGCTGAGCGTGGCAGCACCGGCGCAGCATCGGTGCAGCTCCACTTGCGTTCACACGGCAGTTTCTGCAGCGGAGCAAAACGACAGAAAACAAATGAGTTGTCGTGTTGGTTCTTTTTTCAACGTATACACAACTCAAGCAACTACTGTACAGCCACGTCCTTCTCCTTCTCGGTCTCCGTGCCTTCTGCTCGAGAGTGACCGACCCCCGATAACGTAACTCAACGATGACTTCAATGACACTCAGAAAAGCAAAAATGTAATGCGCCAAACAGAAAAATCAAGAGAGGAAATCACGAAATAAATTCTAATGGGCACGGGGGTTGTGAACACACAACAAAGGAACAAACTACACAAACAACTCCGAGACAGTCCAGTCTCCTACAAAAGGAAAGATGACGTTTGGAGACTATCCCCCCCCCGTTCTAGTTGAGATGGTATAACCCAAGAGGTGCTTTGCTACTGTTACCAGCCTTGTCTTGTGTCATTATTAAATAAACACATGACGGAAGTGCGACAGAGCACGAAAGCAATGCATTCTCGCCGTACGTAATCAACTCTTCTCATGCGTAGCGAGGCTACTCCCCCCTCGCAAACGAGCATTTGCTCTGGAGCAAATTGTAGCGTTCACACGTGCAAATTTACATCGGTGCTGCGCCGCAAACGAGCATTTGCTCTGGAGCAAATTTTTAAACCACCTCCCTGAGGTGGATCAAATTTGGTCCGGTGTAAGCTGTTTAGCGGCGCTACGCCGGAGCAAATTTGCACGTGTGAACGCTCAACTGGCGCAGCGCCGGTGCTGTGTCGGACCAAATGTTGCCGTGTGAACACCCCTACTGTCTCTCCGCAGCTGCTTTCAGCTTTTCTCGGTAGTCGGTGCTCTGCGGTCGGTTCTCCATCACCATGTCCACGTAGATGTTCGTGTCTTCGAACAATTCTTGGTCGGCTGGTGTCTCCTCCCTGTCCATGGGAGCTCGATTCAGTGTGTCGGCTGTCCTCAGGCATTTTCAGCACAGATGAAATTTCTTTCCTCTCAACCACAGGAGAGAGAGTAGCCGCTGTAAATGCCTGCGCCGCCATCAACAGAACAGTTAACATAAAATGACAACTTAATACAACACATATAACATATAAAACACAGACAGTCAGGCAATCTTAACCACTTTTTCTTTCTTTTAGTTCTGTAAATTGCTCTTGAACACTCTGTCAAAAGATTCAGCAACACTTGCCTCTGAATTGGTGTCCCCTTGCAGATAAGACTGCTGCCTCTTCACCTCCTCGCTTTGCCGTGCTATTCTTACGGCGTTTTCAAGGGTCAGATCCAAGTGCATGCGTTCAAACAGTCCCCTGTCTTGCAGTCCGACGACAATTGTGTCTCTGATCAGTTCGTTGTGTAGCCCCATAGCTACAATGTTCTGCCAGCGCATCGAGTGCAGTGACGAACGAATCCACACTCTCCCCTCCTTTCTGAATATTGAATATAGCACGCTCGAAGATGACGTTTTTCTTGACAACGAAGACGTTTCGGAGTCCCCCTCGCACTTCTTGGTATGTGCGCCGTTGAATCTGTCAGATTCAACCGGCGCAGGATATCATCCGCCACGTCACCCATGCAGTAAATCAGTGTGTTTACTTGATTTTCTTCAGAGCTGGCATTCAGGTTACTTGCCAGGCGGACTCTTTCGAATCTCCGGATCCATTTGTCCCGCTCCTGCGGTTTTGAAAAGTCAAAGGGCTCCGGTGGCTGGATGTTAAACGTGTCGCACGGCCCCGCGGTGACGACTAGTCCAGCAGCCCGCTGTGCACCAAGCGCCGAGGCTCCTTCCTCTCCGTTCGCCTTTCCCCCTTTACCGCCGTGTACAAAAGATCCTCTTCACGCACTCCACGTCAACGACAGGACTTCTGACACCATGTCGTGTTATCAAATGAGGCACACGTGAGTCCAGCTGTAGTGTTAACGTGGATAACTTTTATTTAACTTCACGACGCGTGTATGCTTCTCTCCGGTTCTCTCGTCTCCCCGCTCTCGACGCACACCAGTGACGTAATCGCACAGTGACTCTGTCGTCTGTGTCGTACACGATTACACTACAGTTACCATAGCGACCAGAGAGCGTTGCGGAAAAAAGTTTTGTTTCTGCTTTCCAAATTTTTGGGGCGTGGCTAAAGTATGCGGCATGAGTCGCCCCTACCCCACTATATAAGGACTTGAGCGCTTTCATTCAAATCAGTTGTGATCCATCGCAATTACAGTACAGTACTGTATACCGTGAACTCGCTAGCTATTTCGACAACCCGAAAATGCATCTTCTCTTCAGTTAGTACTCGAGCATAGCCGCTTTAGAGTGACGCATTGTCTGCCGTGAGTATGCGCACGTCACGCAGAGAAAGACAGAAGAGCGTGGAGGCGGGAAGAAAGACAGATGAGAGAGGGTGGGCAATGAATAAAAACTTGTGCGCAGAGGTGTTAACCTGTATTAAAACATGCTGCCCATATTTATTTATTTATTTATTGTGCCGCATATCTTTAAATTGCCTTTTCACGGAAGCTGCAGCTGTGAGAAAACGTTTTATAGAACATTTAACATATAATAAAAATAATACAACAAAACATAAACCATCGACAATAAACAAAGTGATTGTACTGCATGTAAATGTATAATGTTTCAACTGGACCATAAATGTGGCAAGGATTTTCAGAACACCTATAATTCAGTTAATGCTAGAAAACCTCAAGATTATGAATTGGAAATTCGTCTCTACAGGTGTATCGGATTCAAAAGTAATAGAAAATAGCTCGTATCTGCCTCATTTTATTATTACAGGATTCGAATTTGTCTGGCGTTTCTATAACAGCGCTAATATATTTGTCCACCAGAGGTCAGTACAGATTCACATTTGAACTCAACAACGTAATCCACAGAAGAATCAGAAGATGGCACTGTTTATTGTTGATATTTTTTAAGTTGTCTGAAAGCATGGACTGGAGTAGCGTGACTAGTCATTTTCCGATCACATTTTCTGTTCGACAGTTACAAGTAAAAATTAAACAGCAAAAGCATATGAATAAAGATACATTGACTCAAATGAAATAAAAAAGTAAAAATCACTTTTTTTAGACGCATTCAGCCGATGGTTTAGATAACAGCATATTGTTGTTTCAAAATAATTCTGTTTAACCGATTTCCACGTGTTGGTCAACACATAGTGTGGCGTAATAATACATGTAAATGAAGCGTCACGCGTCAACCAGACTAAACAAGCTATAACCAGCCTCCACCTGACTCTCCTCGCTCTCTCCCGAACTTCGCACATGTATAACAATACATTCCTTCTTGTTTGCTTTGAGGGGAGTTCAATTTGTATATAAAAAGAAAGCCGGAAGGCAACTGGACTTCTTTCCTTTCTTTCTTTACTCCAAATAGGCTACTTTCAGAAATTGACTTACAAAAACAGCACTTTGTTATCAGTAATAAGAATAGCACTGATTCTATAAACTCTATCTTGACTTGCGAGTGAAATCTTAATTGAGCCCATGTTTTTTTGCTAAGATGGAAATTAGTACACTGAACAACAGCATTCAGGGAATAAGGTTCGGTTTACTTTATTATGTGAGGAAATCACAGCCACAACAAAAGTGGCGCCTAACAAAATAGACAGCGGCGTTTTTTAAAACAAATTATTTTCATTTTTCTTGTTACTTTTTTTTTTGCCAATTTGAATGTAAGTGTAGTGGGGTTCAAACAACGTGGGGCATGAAGGACAAACTGAAATGTACTTTTAAGTGACACATGGACAACAGACTTTGAAATATGTTAGTGTTAATTTTGAAGATAGTGATCTAAGACAACTGTCTGGCATATAACTATACAGAATAGCTATTTCTGCTCTGTGAAAATGAATTCTTGATGTGCTGATAACTGTAAAATGTGCAATTAAATATTAGTCAACAGCTTAATTACAAAAGAGTTTGGACTGGTGCAATCCTATTATTCATACAATGGCATAAAACAAATAAAACAAACGAAAAAGACAAGTTATTATTTGCAATCATTTGGCTATGCTATATTATTACTGGTCCAATCCACGTGACATCAAATGTGGATGTTATTTGCCCCTGAACCACAATGAGCTTGACACCCTTCCTCGTCAATGCACCTTATTGTGATTTCTGCATTACAGTACAGTACGCACAAATGCACCTGCTATGCTTGCCAATGTATTTGTTTGCATATCGAATGACAACCCCTTTGCCACTAAACGAATTGCAATGAATGTTGCATTGCATTTTTAGTAAATCGCGCATATGAACATTGCCCAAGCAGAATTTGAAATAATGTGACTTTATATTAGTACCGTCGTTGCAGCAAACTAAAAAAGAACGTACAAAAACAAACAAGCATGGTCCTTTATGGTTCACGTAGACATAAAACGTTGTTGCTGGGTGATACCCAAGACGCCCGAAGAAAAATCCTCCGTGAATGACTTTGTACTAGGTTGTGTACTGTCTCTCCACTCAACACCAAATCCAGTATTTTTCCATCAAGTAGCGCGCTGGACCACGTGACCAGAGAGGGTGGGTGAAGAGCGGGTGGGGGTGCTGTCATGTTTGCATCCTAGTTGACAGCAATGGCCAGAGTATGGCTCGGGACGGGCTAAACCAGTAATGTTCTACTTCATGATCTATTTAGGCTACTACGAATGATGTTTGTACCTAAAGTCCACCTGTCATTTCCCATTCTCCAAGCAAATTCTCCTCCAGGTCGTTTTTGTAACCTCGTGCGTTCGTGATCGTGTAACCACTCCCACTCGTGGCTGGTGGAAAATTACCAGCTTACAAGCAACAGGCAGGCACATGGATGGGACTTGCAGTGGATCTCATCGTCGGAGGCACATGCCGATATTTTCAAAAAATAATGTTACAATTTGGAAACAACTCAAATTTAGAGTCCAGGGGATAGATTTATTGAACGGAGTCAATTTTTAACTGCCTTTCGCGTATGTGATAATAATAAGATGCGATGTAAATGACAGTGTTTTGTCTTTTAAGCCTCGATTACTGCAATTAATGATGTGTTTTACCCGTTCGCTATTCTGACCGAGATTCGTGAAGAAATCCATTCTACATAGGAGTCTGCCCTCTTTTTCTCTCCTGGCGGAGTGGTCGCGTGGGCGCTTGAGCCAATTGAAATTGATTGACGGATTTTCCGTACAATGAAAGCGCAGCCGGGATTTCTCAGCTCAAGCTACAGCCAATCACCGCGCGCAATGGGCGGAACTCCAGTCCAAACTTTACGCGGCGCCATCGGCTGAAAACTAAACCGAGATGGAATCTCCCAGTCTGAACCGGTTTCAACCGGTTGCGAGTTAGTTGCTTGAGAGAGGAAAGGAGGCGCAGGCACACAACCTCTATACCGCCCCGCTGGAAATTTAATAAGAGTAACGCATTTATTAGGTTTGTGAATCAACGTTTGTTTTGTTTCGTTAAAATGTCTTGGAATGACGGATTGCTGGCTTTGCCTTGATAGTAGTTTTGGGATCCAATCAGTGGTTATTAGCAGTCAGACATCCCTCGCTGCTGGAGCTGGAGATAGTCAACGCTGCAGAAATAGGAAAGCTTTTCTTATCAACTGTGATTTCAAGTGTTCACTATATCTTGTGCGTTCTGTAGCTAACGCCGCACTTTTCAATCAGAGCCTCGGACTATAGGTACGTAAATTGGAGTGAAGCGCAAAGCGCCAAGTTGTCGTTAGGCTGACTGTATTCTATACCTGTGCCGGGCATAGCTAGCGGATATTGTATTGTTTTAGGTCATGTTTGCAGAGCTTTTCATTGTGCTCACTAAACGGCTCTTAAATCACATTGATAACATACTTTGTGTAATCAAATAGCCACGCGCGGGACTAGCGTGTGCTGTGTAGCGACGGTGGAAGTCACGCGTGTTGCCCGAAATTTGTTTGAACTTGGTTTGAAAGCAACGTAGTGTGATTGAATCCACGCCTCTCCCAGCTCGCCAGCATCACTCGTGTACGTGATGGCAGCGGATGTCAAGTTGGTGTTGCTAGGCATTCAGTTGCTCGCCACTGTTAGCCTTCTCTTTGTCACGTGTCACGCGTACGCAGCGTACCATCTTAAAAGCACAAACTGTAAATTTTTAGGTAAGAGCAAGGGACAGTACCAAAACTCCTTTCACGTTCCGCTGAGCAAATCGGTGGCGCTGAGTGGCTTGTGGTGGGAGGGGTTGTACCACGCCATTGCTGGACCACATGGGAACTGTTAGCCACGCCAGAGCTTCACAAAATAGACCTTCAGGGCAATTTAATGTTTCGCTTTTTGTGTGTCAAGTTGTGCACAGTGAATGCTGACATGGCTGAAACTGCTGCTCGTTAATTGCTCACTTTTGTTAGTTGGACTTTGGATGTGTTAGCTTGGTTTCTTCGAGATGTAAACAAAGTGACGTCGACTTTTGTATCCGACACGTGACTTGGTTAACTACTTAATCAAACAACTATGTTAAGGTAACCGTTTTGGTCTGTACTGTTGCACTTTGTACAGTTTGTTGGGTGCTATAATTTCACTTTGCCCTGCCCATCGTGACTAGAACTTTTCTAAACCTGACAGTTTGATGTCCTTTTGAATGCTTTCAGACATGTTGCCTGGTTGTTGACAGATAGTGGGTTGAGTGGATGTTGTAGTTTCATTGTCAGCTGTTTGGAATTGTTTCAAAACATGGTGCACATGACTTTGCCTGTTGAATGAGTTCGGTGCTTCCATAACCCCCCCTCTCTTTCCTGTCGTTGTTGCAGAGCTCTATGCCAGCAATTATGACAATGTTAGCAGACCATGCAGCACAGCAGCTGCTGGACTTCAACCAGAAACTGGATATCAACCTGCTGGATAATGTGGTGAACTGTTTATATCATGGGGTGGGACCACAGGTAAATTATGTTGCAAATACATTTTAAAAAATAATTTCCGTGGCCTAATATTTTTCTGAATTTCACAGCTCAAGTCTAAATCTCTACACTTCTGTACCTCAACACATTATATCCCCCTCTCTTGTAAATTGGAATTCTTTAGTGTCTTGAATAATTCTCTTGCAGCAAAGGATGGCGCAAGAAGTCTTGACACACCTCAAAGAACACCCAGATGCTTGGACAAGAGTGGACACCATCCTGGAGTTCTCCCAGAATATGAACACCAAAGTAAGCCGTCTTCAGTGATTTATTTTAAATGTGGGAATTTGGCACATACCAGCAGAGACCAAATTGGTGAATACACAAAGTACAGTAATGTACAATGTAGGCATGTAGTCAAACACAATCTACTTTTGTACACTAATTGACCAATATTTAGTTCAATGGTCGAAACATTTTTTTCCTAGGGAGACTGGAAATCTTAGTTATCCATTCTAGTGTCAAACTGTCACCACCATAAAAACTTTAAAAACTGTACAGGCAATGTTTCATGGAACATAACTTTCTGAACAGCCATTCAAGTATAAAAGTAATCAATACGTAGAATAAAACTATTCACTCTGTCACATTTAAAGCATGGGAGGGTTTGTGAAGACATTCCACTACATACTAGGTACTATTTCCACAAGACAAGAGTTTGGTACACATACAGACATTTGTTTAGGCTGTCGCCCCCTGTGTGGGCGTTGACCATGGCAATATATGAACAGGGGAATCATTTTGGACAGTTTAGAATTTCTTTGATGTCTTTGTGGTTGATAAGGCTTCACAGCCATGTGTCGATCGTTCTGGTATTCATCTTTGTTGGTACTAAATCTATTAGACTTTGACTCACAGCTCTCTATCTGGTCATTCATAGTATAGTGAGCATTGAAGACAAAATGAAAAGAGCGAGCAGAAGTTCGGACGGAACTGAACAGAAGTGTATGCTACTATTGTTGCCATGCTACTGCTATAGTGAATATGTACGCATGATCCTCATCATGTTAGGCTTTTTGATTTTTCTGGGAGCCTTCGGTGGTGGCCAAAGAAAGATGTTTGTCTCACGGGACATCACAGAGAAGATGGCTTGACAATTGAAGTATTTTTTTCATCGGTATTTTGTTTGATATTGATTTTAAAGGCCTTTCAATTTGGAAAAGTCACTATTGTTTATTCAGCAGTGTGACTGTGTTATTGTGGGAGCATTTTGGACCCACTGGAAGTAGAGGAAGACTCCTGGAAATATTTGCAGCATCTGCTTTGCTAGTGTGGCCTCAGTCTTCTTGAAGAGAAAAAAAGGAATTCATCAAGATCAGAACATCCATCCCTCCATTTCCTGTACAGTTGTCCTCATTAGGTTCACTGATGAGCTCAGGCATATCCCAGCTAACCTTTGGGTGAGAGGCAGGGGACATCCTGGAATGGTCACCAGCCAATTGCAGGGCACATAGACAATCATTTACACTCACATGCACACCTTTGGTAGTCGGAGGATCTGGCGGAAACCTATGCAAACATAGAATATCAGCATCAGTGGCAACATTTGCTCACACTTCTTTGCCAAAACTGCTCCAAATCATGTCACAGATACTAAACATCCAGTAGTTACCAGAAATGCTGCTATCGGCCTTTTGGGAACATCCGTGACCTGTTATCTTCTAGTCTTTTCATCAACGTTGGAGGGATGTCCATTTCTTGGCATTGTCACTGTTGTGCTATCTGTTCTCCACTTGATGATGACTGTCTTCACTGATTTCTATGCTATAGTTAATTTCTTGGAGATTAATTTGTACCCCTTTGACTGATGCCTTTGTGCAGTGCTCCCTGTGGACAATGTCAGGAAAATCCGAATAGAACTTCTGAACTTTATTTGGGATTAATCATAGGTGCCTTAAATGTTGGCAGGTGTGTACTGACTCCTATTTAGCATGAGCATGAATGTGGATGGTTAATTCTGAACACCGCCAGATCTCCAATTTCAGAAGAGGTTTCTCACACTTGTGCAACCACATTTATCTTGTTTATTTTTTCTTAACCTCTTAAGAGATTTCTGGTCACATTTAATGGTGGAAAAGGTTTGAAATAATTCATTTTGGTTTACTTTTTTTAAATAACATTAACCTACCAATGTGATTTTTTTTTTTTTCCAGCTTGAGGCATCTTTAATTTATCTATATTGATGCACTTTTTCACACCGCAGATTTTTTTTGTCTCATCAAGGATTCACTTGAAAGTTGTAAGAAAAAAAGTGATGAATTCATTTCCTTTCTATTTTACTGATGAAAATTCATGCAAACTGTAAAGTTACAACATTTGTGGAATGCTGTAATCAATAACATTGAGACAAAATATTGCTCAACCAAAATAACTGGCAGCATATTGGGGGGAAAAAAACCCAACCAAGCAAAAAGCATGTTTTGGCTCTTCAATATAAATACTCCCTGTGGACAATGTCAGGAAAATCCGAATAGAACTTCTGAACTTTATTTGGGATTAATCATAGGTGCCTTAAATGTTGGCAGGTGTGTACTGACTCCTATTTAGCATGAGCATGAATGTGGATGGTTAATTCTGAACACCGCCAGATCTCCAATTTCAGAAGAGGTTTCTCACACTTGTGCAACCACATTTATCTTGTTTATTTTTTCTTAACCTCTTAAGAGATTTCTGGTCACATTTAATGGTGGAAAAGGTTTGAAATAATTCATTTTGGTTTACTTTTTTTAAATAACATTAACCTACCAATGTGATTTTTTTTTTTTTCCAGCTTGAGGCATCTTTAATTTATCTATATTGATGCACTTTTTCACACCGCAGATTTTTTTTGTCTCATCAAGGATTCACTTGAAAGTTGTAAGAAAAAAAGTGATGAATTCATTTCCTTTCTATTTTACTGATGAAAATTCATGCAAACTGTAAAGTTACAACATTTGTGGAATGCTGTAATCAATAACATTGAGACAAAATATTGCTCAACCAAAATAACTGGCAGCATATTGGGGGGAAAAAAACCCAACCAAGCAAAAAGCATGTTTTGGCTCTTCAATATAAATAAAATAATAATAATAATGATAATAATTTAAAATTAAATAAATAAAATAATTTATTATTAATAATAAATTAATACAAACATTACCAAATGTGCATGTACTTCAGTACAAGCAGCTCAAAAAGTGCTTTGCTGATTTTTAATGTCTGTAAACATCAAATGGTAATAAAATACTTCTTCTGTATCAGCAGCACAGCAATTCAATCTTCAACAAATTATAAAGGCTCACCTGAGTTACATGAATGTATAGTTCTGTACTTATGACTCAATTGTGTTTTAAAACTAAGAAAAAAACTTCATCTGGCTCCATCTTACAAAAATACCACCTTGACTTCAGACTAAATGCTTGTCACAGAATCTAATTGACAAAACATAACAATTCATTTTAAAAGTGTTTTCAACAGGTCAGTGCTACAAAAAATTCCCCCAAAAATCAGGCCACTATAAAATGTCAATGCAGGTCAATTCAAATGTGCTTAGCTTGTCAGTCCTTATCAACATGCTCAGATAATGGTGTGGTGCGTTGTGCAGTGACAATATGTCCTGCAGTCTAAAACTCGTTCTCCAGCAACAGTGGTACCTGGACTTCTGTTTTGGTTTGGTTGTAGAATGTCTGCATCCTTGTATTGGTAAAATAGCGTTAGGATGGCAGGGGGTACCTGTGCTCCAATGTAAGTAGCAATGGTCCAAGCAAAGGTCCCTAATTTTCCACGATGGAAAAGGGATGTAAATGTTTGAAAATAAATGCCGAGATAGCCTTTATAATTCGCTTCACCTTTTCTGATGAGGCAAGCAAATTTCGGATTGCTTCCTCGATTATCCTCTGGTCGGTAGCGCCACTGGTCTACAGCAACAACAGCGAGCCGTCTCCCAGACTCCTCTGCATGATGGAATTGACTTGCTTGACTTAACATGTTTGCTGTGTTGCTGAAAAGGTTGAGATTGGTCGAAGCCCACATTATAGGGCTTTGCATTAATTGTTTGTATCTCGGGCTTTGGCACTCACGCCGTATATATGGTGCTGTGTAAATTAAATACATGGAGTTTACTTTTCAAGTCAAAGGCTCACCTCACTACAGAACTCCATGTATGAAAAGGTGACCGTGGCTGGGTTTTGACATTTCTGCAAGCACAATTTAAAAGATTTGTCATTGGTGTCATATTGGTACCAGTTCCTGTTCTGTTCCAAACCATTCATAGTGCTCAACCCTCCATTACCTTGGTTCATCTTGGGATAAAGACACATTTATAGCTGTACCTTCTCGCCTATGAGAATCACCCTTGCAATTCATGGATTTTCTTATTTTCTGCCTGGTCTGTTATGATGCTAGGAGAAACAGAAGTCTTGAATACTCTCATCTTACTGCATACAAAATGATAGAACATCTACGTACATGAAAGATTAGGTTCTGTCAACTTTTTACCTCCAAAATAAATTAGCACATGCTTTTCCATTTTATTCATGCGTTTCCAAAAGTTTGCACAAAACGGTCATGTTTGCTGTATCTTGTACCTCTCTTTGTTCCAGTACTATGCTCTTCAGATCTTGGAAACTGTTATCAAAACAAGATGGAAAATTCTTCCCCGGAATCAATGTGAAGGTACATTTTTATTCTACTTTTTACATATGATGCTGTCAAAACATTCTAAAAACCTCCAATCATATCCCAGTTATGTTTGCCGTTGCACAGTATCTTCTCAGTGGTTTCCAGCTTGCCAAGCCAATGCTATATGGGTGATACCATTGCTGGTCTCTCATTGATCCAGAAGATGTTTTTTTTCCTTCATTATTATTTTTTAAATTGACCTTGAGATTTCCTTATTTCTGGCTGTAGGTGCATGAATACATTTTGTGGCAAATCCAATGAATGGTGACTGGGAAGAATGCCTTTTCCCACCTTGTGGAAAAGTATTGGCTTTTTTTTCATCTCCACTTGCTTCATCCAGCGACATTGATATAGAAATTCAATGTTCCTGCTGGCCTGAAAAAGCAATGTGAGGGAGCTGAAAATAGTTTTTAAAACACTCTGTTTACACTGGCACATTGCCTGAGTAAATGTAATTTCTATTAAACAAGCAATTCAAAACCCGCAACATTGTTAGAACAACTAGTTGATTATTTGTGAATGGAGAAGCGTAGTTTGTATTGAAGGATGTTAGCGGCAGGCAACTTTTATGTCAGGCTATTTTTATGTCACTTTTTATTGGAATAAGTTGACAGTGTTTGTACTATCTCTATTTTCCAGGGATAAAAAAGTATGTTGTCGGTCTCATTATTAAGACGTCATCTGATGCTGCAAATGTGGAGGTATGTAACACTGTTTTGTATCATGTTCTATTCAAAAAGTGGAATTTAGACTCATTTAAATGATGAATTTAGTCTAGTCTGGGGGAAGTATAAGACAGAAATATACATGTATATTGTTCCTTGACACAGCTCAACTCCTCTCAGCTTTATCAGTACGGCCTTAATACAGGGATTTTTCACAGAAGATAATGAATTTATGACTGCTCTGTTATGTCTGTCTACATGTGTTTCTGCGCCGTCTACGTCCAATTCGTTGCTTAAAAGTAAAAGCAGAGATCAGGGTCCCCCAAGTCAAGCCGTCAAGAGTCCCAGCTAGTCCAGCTGGTTTTAGATGTCTCCCTCCTCCGACACACTTGATTCAAATGATCAGCATCTCTGTCAGGATTCTCCAATGCCTACTAATGAACGGATCATTTTTATTAAACTGTGTTGGAGGAGGGAGACATCCAAAACGGTCTGGACAGGGGCTCTCGAGGACCGCACTTGGGCACCCCATGCATAGATGCTTTTTAGCATTAAGCTTAAGGGACTGTAAGGCGGTTTTCAATCCGCAAAGTGTAATTCTGTTTGTTTAGTTTTACCATAAACTTGACATGAGAGTCATTTAACAGCATGAATATTCTTTTTTTGAATAATTGTTCACTTGTGCATCTGTCAAACTGTGGCTTCTTGTGAAGTGAGTTGAGTCGATCCCACCATACAATGCTTGTGTCTCAAGGCTGCGCTTGCAAGTTAGTTAAAAAAAAAAAAAACATGGTCGGATGTTGGCTCATCTCAAAACTCCTAATTCAAGTCATTATGTATCTCAAGACACTGGGGTCTCGCAGTGGTGTTTTTGTTAGCCCTCCCCCAACTTACAACAACCATATAAAATCATCTGGTGGTACTCACAGCCTTGAATAGTCCTGGTTAACAAATTGCCAAGGCCAAATATTGTCAGTATTGTTGCCTTTGAAACAATCCAAGATCTGATTTGTTGTCCATTTGAACTTTTTAGAAAGAAAAGGTCTACATTGGAAAGCTGAACATGATTCTTGTTCAGGTAAGTCTTCAAAGAATATTTGAAATGATGGGATGATGAAATGTGTACAGGAATGGCCAGAAAATGTTTCCATTATGTGTCTGTTTCAGGGGTAGTGATAAAATGGATGGCGGGTTCACTCTGTTGCTGCGTTATAATATGTGACCATAACTTGAACATTACTTGTACATATCATTTTGTGTGTGTAGATCTTGAAGCAGGAGTGGCCCAAGCACTGGCCCACGTTCATCAGCGACATTGTCGGAGCAAGCCGAACCAGTGAGAGTCTTTGTCAGAACAACATGGTCATTCTCAAACTGCTTAGCGAGGAGGTCTTTGATTTCTCCAGTGGCCAGATGACCCAGGTCAAAGCGAAACATCTGAAAGACAGGTTAGTAGAGCATTGTACTTAAAAAGACAACCCCGACTATCTGTTGTATGTAGCCCACAATAATGGCCTTGTGTTTCTTTCAGTATGTGCAATGAATTCTCCCAGATATTCCAGCTTTGCCAGTTTGTTATGGTATTTAATTCCCAGTCCCTTATCATATCATTTGGTTTCCAGAGTGTTTCTCTTATAAATCTTATCATCTTGTATCGCAGGAAAATTCCCAGAATGCCCCCCTGGTTCATGCTACTCTGGAGACCCTCTTACGTTTCCTTAACTGGATTCCTTTGGGCTATATCTTTGAAACCAAGCTAATCAGCACATTAGTGTATAAGGTAGGCATGCGCAGAGTGATGGAGTGAGTGAGTGAATGAATGAATGTAAGACTTGATCATACAGTATTATCAAACAGGTCTTACGCAGCAAAGTAACTTTTCTAACGGTTTTTAGTTCCTGAACGTGCCCATGTTCCGGAACGTGACACTGAAGTGTTTGACAGAAATTGCCGGAGTAAGTGTCAGCCAGTACGAGGAGCAGTTTGTCACACTCTTCACCCTGACGATGTGTCAGCTCATGCAGGTGACCTTCTTGATGGACTCTGATAAGCAAAATCGCATCCTTTTGGCTCATACAAAATAGAACTCTAACCCAACACGTATGTATTTAGATGCTTCCCCCCAACACTAACATCCGGCTGGCCTATGCCAATGGAAAGGATGAGGAGCAGAACTTTATCCAGAACCTCAGTCTGTTCCTCTGTACCTTTCTGAAAGAGCATGGGACACTCATTGAAACACGGATTAGCCTGAGAGATACATTATTGGAGGTAAGTTGCGGGTCAGGAGGAGAGTTGAAGACAATGTATTCGGATCAGGGCATGTACAACAGGTTTATGATATGCCAACTTGATCTTACTGCCCTGCTTCAGGCTCTTCACTACATGCTGCTGGTGTCAGAGGTGGAAGAGACTGAAATCTTTAAAATTTGTCTGGAATATTGGAACCATCTGGCGGCCGAGCTGTACAGAGAGAGTCCGTTCTCTACGTCCACATCCCCGTTGCTGTCTGGCAACCAGCACTTTGACGTGCCGCCACGCAGGCAGCTGTACCTGCCTGTATTGTCCAAGGTACCACTTACTGATTCATTTTAATCCTTGAATCAGTACAAATATATTGCTTGCAATCTTTCAGTCATCATAGAAGTCTTGCTGGCGGTGAAAGCCATCACATATCGTGCCTTTTGGCATTGATCCACATGAGCAAAGTTTCTGTGTGCAAGTGAGCAGATTCTTCTCCTGAGTGTGTGCGCTGACACTATGGCTGAACGATTTTTAAAAATCGAACTCGTGATTACAGATTACGTGATGGTAAAGGTTTTGTGTAATTTATTGATGTATTGCAGCACTCCCTACGACCCACTATTCTGTTGTATCAACAATCTCGCACACAAACACAGTCTCCCTCCTCTCTCATCATGCTCACCAATCAGAAGTGACATGCAATTTCTGACAGGTCCTGGAACCTGGTGCTCGCTAACGGGGCAAAATACTTAGCACTAACACACACACACAGTGCTGAGCCACAAGCTACTAGCTGCAAATGCTAGGTGCCATGGGTAAACATTATCCACCTGCCTGCAGTTCCTCACCTCGAAGTCACAAATCCTGGCCTCCCTGGCGGAAATTAAGGAAAAACAAAACATTGTTATCACTAAAAGCAGACAAGGTGTAGCAACATCAACAGCGGACATCAAATCTGTAAGCAGACACAAAAAAAATCCCCAAATGAATCTATTACATTAGCCAGGATCAGATTGGGAATCTTTGTTGTCGTTAGATTTTAATGTTCTTCATAATCTTGGTTTATTTAACCAGTTAAAATGTTTTTTTTTTTGAATAGGAGAGCCTCTTTCACACAGTATCCTTAGTGTCCTTACATTATTCAATAGCTTTTAATGTTTTGAATTTGATATACATGCGGAATATTGCCCTGAACCTTGATTTGGGGGGGCTTAAGCGAATCTTAATTGATATTTCTGTCAGAAAACTCACCATTCAATCTTTTCCTGAAATCGTTCAGCCCTAGCTTGACATGCCTTCCTGCTCTCAGCATTAAGAGCTGCAATCTGTAACCATCTCATGATTAGGTTTGAGTAACATTGCAAGGATATGATTTGATTTTTGATGCTTTCCAATGCATCTTGCATTTTCTAATTATTGAATTCTGATCAGTTGTAAAAACTGCTCTGCTGTGAGTGGAATAAATCTGCTTTGGTCTACGCGTTTGAGCACAAACTTTGTGCTGCACAAAGCATCATTTCTGACGCAAATATCCATGATTAAATTGTTGTGTAACTCATTCATACATGACTAGTTGTATTTTATTTATTTATTTTGCTGCCACCCTTGCCCAACAGGTTCGTCTGCTGATGGTGAGCAGGATGGCCAAACCAGAGGAAGTACTAGTGGTGGAGAATGACCAAGGGGAGGTGGTCAGAGAGTTTATGAAGGACACAGATTCCATAAACCTCTACAAGAACATGAGAGAAACACTTGGTGGGTCTTCTGTCCATGTCAATTCAGTTCTCTCTTGTAAAGCTCTCTTAAAAACCACTCCTTCCTCCCAAATCACCCTCATAAATATTTACTGTGCACATTGTAACAAAAAAAAATGCTCAAAACTCTTGTAATGTTTAGTTTGATCACTGACTTGTGCAGTTGCTGTAGTTAAATATTAGTGACATTCAGAAGTTTTTCCTTCAATATTTTCTTTTCCTTCCTTGTCTCTAATAGTCAAGATTTGGAACAGGGTATGAAAAAATGTGCTGTATATTTATATTTTGTCCCATTACCATTCTAGACAAGCACTGGCTCCAGCGAAACGCTGATCATAAATGTTGTCTGCTTCTCTGCAGTATACCTGACTCACTTGGACTATGCAGACACAGAGCGTATAATGACTGAGAAGCTTCACAACCAGGTGAATGGCACTGAGTGGTCCTGGAAGAATCTCAACACGTTGTGTTGGGCCATTGGATCTATCAGTGGGGCAATGCATGAAGAGGATGAAAAGAGGTTCTTGGTCACAGTCATAAAGGTATTGTAAGACGTTATAAATGATGTGGGAGATATTAATCAGCAAATAAAGTTGATACAGATTTTCATGGTGTCCACAAAATGCTTCTTGAGTTTGAAGAGGTGTAAGATGCAAATTAATTGTAACATTCTTTCACTTCATTCTTTCTTAGTAGCTACAGATGCATTTTTTTCCTTCAGGTTCATGTGGGTGTCGAAGGGGAGCATTACCAGCCCTCACTTAATGTGCGCCCCTGCAGTTACTCTGCATTAATGCGATAGTCTATCTTTGGACACCCCTCTGTATTCTCTGTAGCATATCTGATGTGATTCTGTGGTATAGTTTTGCATCTCATGCAGAGTTGCACAAAGTGGAGATGTGTCAACTTTACTCTTGAAAGATGTCCCAATCCGTTAGGTTCAGTGAAGTTGCAGGTCACCCGTAGAACACCGAATCGTCTTAACCAGCATGGCCCATCAATTGGTTTGGCTGTTCTTCATCAAGTGCACAATATTGCTGAAAAAGGTCGTCACCACCCACCACTGTCATCAGCTAGTCATGGAAATAATATAAAATACATCGTTGACAAGGGGAATCTATTGACACCATACTCAACAATATGTTTTAATTTGCTTTCGATATCATGAGGAAGTGTTTTTGTGGTCACCCTGTAAACTGACTTGATGAAGAATGTGCGCAGAAAAGGATTTCGGTTGGTTTGCTTCAGCTATGTTAGGTATAATTGTTATAAATGTGACTTGTTTGTCCCAGGATCTGTTGGGTCTGTGTGAACAAAAGCGGGGAAAGGACAACAAGGCCATTATCGCCTCCAACATTATGTACATCGTCGGCCAGTATCCTCGCTTTCTCAGAGCCCACTGGAAGTTCCTCAAAACGGTGGTCAACAAGCTCTTTGAGTTCATGCATGGTGAGATTTTGAGAGTGAACAATATTTAGTCCTGTATCGTGTTTTCACGTAATAATCTGAGCGCTGTTAATGGTCCCTTGTCATCAGAGACCCATGATGGAGTTCAGGACATGGCCTGTGACACATTCATCAAGATTGCCCAGAAGTGTCGACGGCACTTCATCCAGGTACAGGTGGGAGAGGTGATGCCTTTTATTGACGAGATCCTCAACAACATCAACACCATCATCTGTGATCTGCAGCCACAGCAGGTCAGTTCAGAGATGCGCTTCTGTTTCACAGGTGCAGTACAGAAAGACGGTCATCGCGTTCAACTCGTCTGTTCACCTAATCTCGTTTGTGTTCAAGGTGCACACGTTCTATGAAGCTGTCGGTTATATGATCGGCGCACAGACAGACCAGGCTGTACAGGAGCATCTTATCGAGAAATACATGTTGCTCCCAAATCAAGTTTGGGACAGTATCATTCAGCAGGCCACCAAGGTAACTTTCACGGTCTCTTTCGAGTATTGTATTTCAACATAGTGTGAGTATGACGTACACGTAAACCTACATGCACATTTGCGTTTGACATGTTTTCCTATCCATGCGCCTTCATTCAGCATGTTGAACATTTGAACGTCATCCTAAATGTATGACCACAGGGAATCATATTTTGTGACGCACTATTTGAAGACTTGAGTCGTGCTGTTGATTTTCTGTTGAATTCACATGAATCCAATTTCTCTGCTTTCTCCTGCCGCATCCACATTCAGAATGTGGACATTTTGAAGGATCCAGAGACTGTGAAACAACTGGGCAGCATCCTAAAGACCAATGTCAGAGCCTGTAAGGCTGTTGGACACCCATTTGTCATCCAACTGGGACGGATTTACCTCGACATGCTCAATGTGTACAAGTGCCTCAGCGAGAACATATCTGCTGCCATTCAGACAAATGGTATGGGAGGTGTGTGTTCATTATGGCATTTATGTGATTGGACTTTGGACATATTTGAGGAGTATCCAAATTCAACGTGGTGATTGAGTCGTCATACTTTCTTCTTTTTTTTTTTTTTAAAAGATCTTAGAGTAACTATTATTTTAGGTAATGGCACAGCAACTAATTTGCTGTTTGTTCTTATTTAGGATAAGTAATTAATCAGACATTTCGCCCATTACTAGCTCACTTTAAACCGATTCAACAGTTTCGAGGAAAAGACCTCAAGGCAGAGATTTCCTTTAAAAATTAATGTCCTTGTTTACATATAATGGGGACCGTGGAGGGGGGAACAGTTCATTTAAAGCAGGTGTTCTCCCCTGCACCTTCTAAAAGTCAAGTGCATATTACAAGTAGAACAAAATTGTGGATATGCACAGGTATACAGGTGATACATGCGATTAATTTCCCTCTGGCATTAATAGAGTGCACAGCGAGCGTAAGCTGTAGAGAAAATGGATGAATTTATCTTTCATAGCCACTCATTTAACAGCACGCTTGTTAGAATTGAGATAATTACGCCCTCTGCTGGTTCCCTCTAATCCATGAAATCAATTATGCCAACTTTGCTTCAAGACAGTTCAGCTACATGACAAAATGAAAATTGATTTTTCATATAAATTTTAAGTTTAAAAGGATGTTAGTATTCCTTGAGAAGCTAAATAATAGCAAACACTTTAGGTAATGGTGGTTGAAGAGTCTTAAGCCGCTTTTCCATTGTACATTGTACCAGTTCCACCCGAGGGGTCGTGTCTCCCTTACACTATTCCCAAGACCGTGTGGTTACAATGGAACCACTCTTCAGAACCTCCTCCGAGGTGGTTCTAAAATGCAGGCTGAGTAGGGACGTGAGAGCTCTGTCATCTGATTGGCTGACAGAAACGGCGTGGCAAGTAGCTCCACTGCACATGCATGTCCTGCGAGACAAGAGCCGCCTGTCGGCCCCTGCCAAGTCCTGGAAATACAAGATATATAGTTCACACAATTGTGTTTTACAGCAACACTTAACCATACTTAGAATTTTATTTGTATCAATGGATGAAATAGAGAAGCTTGTGGTAAAAAAAAAAAACATAAAATTGCCAGCACATGCAGCGTTCACTTGAATGAAAAGGCCTCCAGCACAGGCTAGAGCCTTGGCGGTCCTCCGGCCGCCGAAGGGTAACAACGATGAGCTGGAGACAGAACTCGAAGAGGCGGTCACGTAAATGAGAGTGTGACTAAGACAGAGTTCTCCATATTCGATATGGATGAGAGCTCTATCTTAAGTGAATAGACCCGGCAAGCAGTGCGCGTTGCTTGCAAAAAAAAAAAAAAAGCTTCACCATTTCATCCATTGCTACATCTGAAATTGTCAGTATGGTTACACATTGTTGTAAATGTTGTACTGTGTATAGTGTATTTTTGTCTTGGTGGCGGGCGGCTGTGTCTCTCGCTTAAACCCGGAAATTTTATGGCAGAAACTTGCACACTGTGAATATGCACTGTGCAGTGGAGGCTTGCACATTTCAGTTGATTCCACTCCAATTGATTGGCACCTGTTATAATGGAAACGCAACGGAAAGGCCTGTGCGGTGTGGTGTCAGGCCGTTCTGGAACCTGTAGTGGAAAAGCGTTTTTCGAGGTCAGTAGTGTGGTGGAGCTACCAAAAGGCAAATCCAGGCACCAGAATCTTTCCCTTGTGAATTTGGTTGTACGATGTGTTTGACATGTTGCTCTGTGTGTGCAGGTGAGATGGTGACCAAGCAGCCTCTGATCAGGAGCATGAGAACTGTGAAACGAGAGACCTTGAAATTGATTTCGGGCTGGGTCAGCCGATCTAATGATCCGCAGATGGTGAGAAACTGTCATGAAATCATTACTGAAAACAATGAGGACTCTACACCGACTCGCCTTAACTCTGCAGTTTCTTGATGTACTTGGTGCAGCGTCTCTTTTGAGCCATCCTGTCCATTGCAGGTCGGAGAGAATTTTGTCCCTCCGCTGCTAGACGCTGTCCTCATCGACTATCAACGCAACGTCCCAGCTGCCCGAGAGCCTGAGGTTCTGAGCACCATGGCGACTATTGTCAACAAACTGGGGGGACACCTCACCACTGAGATCCCCCAAATCTTTGACGCTGTCTTCGAGTGCACTCTAAACATGATCAACAAGGTATGGTTGGACTTTTGAGATTTTATATCACTTTATTTCAGGCTTTACCTGTCTGCAGGCAGTGAGATGGCTTCGTATCAACTGATGGATTGTAGTCTGCTCTAAAGCTTTAAATTTTCCAAAATTCCCCAACTGAGGACGGTGCTAACTGATGTGTCTCGAGTCCCCTAGCTTTAAAGCAGGGACCACCACCCGAGTCAAGGTGGTGTCAGCTGTTGGTGTGACAGACAGCAAAGATTGCTTTCTGCACAACAGGAAAGGGAGCGGGTCAAACTACATAACATTGTTCTGCGTTCCCAACCAAGGTTATTATAGTTGAATGGAAACTAACTAAAACCAAAGTTTCACAATATTATTTCCCCGAAGGAAATGAAATAGAAACAAGAGTGCTTAAAAAAAACAAAACACAGACAACACTCCATTTTGCAATAGCAAGTATAATTGTAGTGAAAATGTCCTCTGTGTTTTCATCTTCTTTCATCAATAATTTTATATGCATGAGCTTTTGGTGTTTGTTTTGAATTGATTTATTTCAGTGTTACTGTACAGCCGTACAGAAGAAGAAATGTCAGTCTTTTGAGAATTGGCGTTTAATTTATTACACATGATTTAGTGGCCTTTTTTTTAACTCGCACTTGACAAATACTACATATCATATCAACAAAACTAAACCTGTGTTTAGTTTTGTTTTTTTACTCAAAAAAGCAAACTATTAACATCTAACAGACCTACTCTCAGAACGAATCAAATCAACTGGATCGATGAAACAAAAGTCAAACTGAAATAAAAACTATTCTTTATGAACAACCCAAATCTATTATTTTACCCCTGCTCCCAACACCGGTGCCGTCCATGGATGTCCTACGGGTTGATGATCGATGATTCTACCTCTGATATTAGGTCTATGCCTTTATGCCGACTTTTCCAGGCAGTATGATGGCGGCTTAACTGGTTGTAATCGCTGACAGTCACTGACCACTTCATCAGGCACACCAATAAATACATTTGACTGAATTACGACTATGTACTCACTTCTAATGAGAAGGGCGTGATTCAATATTTGGAAAGAGTGAATGAATGAAGCGCACGCATGAAATCTTGAGTGCGTTTGTCGTCGTGTCCTTCAGAACTTTGAAGAGTATCCCGAACACCGAACTCACTTCTTCTACCTGCTGCAAGCCGTCAACTCGCACTGCTTCCCTGCGTTCCTCGCCATCCCCCCTGCCCAGTTCAAACTGGTGCTGGACTCCATCATCTGGGCCTTCAAACACACCATGAGGAATGTTGCTGACACCGGTAATGACACTGGGCCCGACTTACCCTGTGAAAATGTCACCGAGCAAGAATGCTGTATGATGGCACAGTCACAAATGCGGGCACATGGAGACAATAGACCATAGCTGTTGAGCGCGCCTTCAAAGGATGACAGTGCGGAGACTTTGTTGACGTCGAGTGGGTTTTGAAATAGCGCCGTGCAATTGTTTTGTGCTGACCAGGTCTGCAGATTCTCTACACGATGCTTCAGAACGTGGCCCAGGAGGAAGCCGCAGCTCAGAGCTTTTACCAGACGTATTTCTGTGATATCCTCCAACACATCTTCTCCGTGGTCACCGACACATCTCACACTGCCGGTGAGTTTGCCCGCAGCATCGCGACCGCGCTGACGGAATGGAACAATTTGACGATAAATTGTGATCATGATGAGTCTAAGCGTTTCGAATGTTAATTCACCTGATTACTGCATTTAACTTGAAGGGTAAAACATCCGATTCGAATTTAGTTTGAATAACAATTTTCTTCCAAATATGTATTTCATTACTAACAGTGCCACCACTATGAAATGCATCTCTCTCGTCGTAATCATTTTAAGTACTTGTTGTGCGGGGGAGTGCCCAGTTTTACAATTTCCAATGTCACTTTGCGTTTCTAATTTGTATATTTTGGGCATTCCGAATCAACTGCAGTGTGTATGTTTTTCTATGCTCATGTTACTTTTAGTACACTCATGATCATTTTGACCATTTTGGTCATGCCACCGGCAATTGTTATCCCATTTCCTCCCTAGTCCGTTGGTGACATTTGGTGCCTTTTTTTTCCCCCGTTTCTCCTCAGGTCTGACCATGCACGCGTCTATCCTGGCCTACATGTTCAACCTGGTGGAGGAAGGCAAGATTACCACTGTACTGAACCCCGCCTCTCCCGCCAGCAACCAGGTGTTCATTCAGGAGTACGTAGCCAACCTGCTCAAGACGGCCTTCCCTCACCTGCAGGAGTAAGTCCATGTGCAAGCACAGCCCATCTTCTGCTCCGCTCCTCATCTAATGTCAGCTTTTGTATGTTCTCCGTAGTGCTCAGGTGAAGGTGTTTGTAACTGGACTGTTCAGCCTCAACCAGGACATTCCTGCCTTCAAGGAGCACCTTCGGGACTTCCTCGTCCAGATTAAGGTGAGAAAATCTGCAGGATGGCTTTAAGTAGTCAAAGTCACCTTAACGTTGACTAAGGCCGCGTCTTATAAAAATTTTGCTTTGGCACCAGTGAGTGGCATCATTGTGTGCCAGGCCTCCATGTTGAACTGAGGGGAGGAGCCTCATTTCGTCAGGCCAGATCTTTGTCTAAAACAAAAAATGCATTGATCCCACCCGAACTGGACACTACGGTATGGCTGAATGATTGTAGAGCAATAATCTAATTGCGATATATTTTTTTTCTCCTCAAGGTTACGATTGCAATTTAATATGAAATAATTTTTTTCAAGGCTCTCTTCCAATGTTTTTTTTTTCCGAAAACAAACAATAACTTCATTTGTTTTATAATAAGTACATATTAGATGTGTAAATTCTGAGTGAGTTTTTCAGTTAATGGATAAATAAATATAGTAAGTACAAATGATAATAAAATATTCATCGTTTCATTTTCATTCATTCTCCATACTGTTTAACCTCATTAGTAGTTATGGAAAAATAAACCGACCAACCCACTAGAATGAGCCAAGTTGCTTTCTTTGCGATCTGAAAACTGCATTCGACTGCATTGCAATGTTGATTTAAATTCAATTAATTATTCATCCCTAATCTGGAGCCAAATATAAACCTTTGTGTGGGCGTCATTTTGTGGATTTTTTTGGGTGGGTTATATTTGTGGCAGGATTCAGTTCTCATGACTGATAATATAAATTACTTTAACATCTGGCAAGAGAAAATACATTCCCCTGATTGACATTTAAATTTGTATTTCTACGGAAACGCTTTGTTGCTCATTTTCCGAGAGTGTTGGAAAGTTGTCACCAAAGCGTCACATGATTTTAAAAGCAATAAACGGTGCGATTCGCGGGGTGTAACCAGCTGGTGTGTGGCTCCGCAGGAGTTTGCTGGCGAGGACACGACGGACCTGTTCCTGGAGGAGAGGGAAGCGTCGCTTCGTCAGGCTCAGGAAGAGAAACACAAAATCCAAATGTCGGTTCCAGGCATCCTCAACCCGCACGAGATCCCCGAGGAGATGTGCGACTGACTCCCGCTCGCTGGGCCGCCACGTCAAACTGTCCGACTAACTCAACTAACCGCAGCAAAGACAACAAAAGCCAAGAGAGGCACTTCAGCGCGATGACTGACGGGAGGCTCCGCTCCCTCCACGGAGAGGATGCCGGTCGTGCAAAACAACGCCAATAACATGTAAATGAACCGTGGCCCTTTTTACATAATCTACGTTTTGTATGGAGACTTTTTTCCTCTAATCTCTTTCCACAACTTGAGTTTTATCAGTCCGGCTTGCCGCTGAACTGCATGAACAAGTCAACCATCTTGTTTTTGTTCTTTGCTCCACTTCCCCTACTCCCTCCTCCCCATATATTTGTTGATATATAAATATATATATGTGTGTGCTAAATATATATATTTATATACAGTGAGAGAGGTTTCTGTTGATCGGCATCAAGATTTGTAGAGTTGGAAGGTCTTTTTGAGGCACATACACCGCTTGGTGGGAGAATGAATGGAACGGCTAATGAATGAAGGCTTAAAAGATGTCAACATCTTTTCATTGTGATTTGTGCGACACCTGAGTTGTTTGAACACTTTTCTAAGGAACGCAACAATGTGCATATCATCCCAATTGTATAGCATCTTTAATACCATGGGAACATATTTTTTCCTCTTATTCTATTGTTTCTTTTGGTGTGCGTGTGTGCGCGTGTGTATGGGTACTGTCGCGTAGTCGACATCAGGCTTTTGTTTTCCTCTAAGAGGATTGTTGCTCATTTGCGAGCCTCCATGAATGAGACGTTTTAAAGTGGCAGAGGTATTTATGGGTTCTTGGTTGACGGCTTTCAACGTGTTCGGTTGTGCTCATTTAGATTGTTTACCACGCAGTAGTGCTTCAAGACACTACCTGTAGAGCAAAATGACAAATAATAAATCGGGTTTACATTTAATTTTGTATTTTTGCCTTTTTCATCCATACGTGTTGAGTTCTGTTCAAATAAACAATTAGGCTCAAGAATGTATAAATTCCGAGTAAGTACCCGTCTCGAATGGCAAATCTCCCTTCTCAAGGTGTTACATTTGTTGTGAATTTTTTTTTTTTTTTTGAACTGATTAAAGTTTAGAGTTTTACAAGTGTCTTTGCTTTCTTGGGTCCACATCACGTCAAAGTACAATGTACTACCAGAAATGGGTACATAGAATATAAAAAGGAAAAATGCAAATCGATAAGCAGTGTTGTCTAGCTGTTTTATTTATGGTAAAAGCAAACTAATATAGCAGTGACATCAAGATTGGTCAACAATCACCATATCACACACTTCCCTTTCATTCCATGCGGATTGTGGTAACTGAAAGGTTGCAAGTGATGAAGATGGGGGGTGTCACAGAGCCCACCAATCACACACATGCGCCCTCCTGCTTCATGCTCAGTTCTTGCGCCGTTGCGGAACACAGGTCAAACCGGAAACTGTTAGTGCACGCTATGATATGCTCTCATTGTTTTTTTTTTTTTTGGATAGCCCCTCCCCTGCAACCACTTGTCTGTGGTCCAAAAATAAAAATCGTCCAGAAACACTTGAGAAGTGCAACCAGTTGTGGTGGCGCTTCCTCCGAACTGAGCCGGGCCCAGGGAGCTCCTTGTTTTTCCAAGGACTGAACACAGCTGCATAAACAAATTGCAGAGCGTGCTGATCCCCTACAGTGTAGGCGGAGATCAGCATGTGTAGGGCCTACACGGACGGTCACCTGAGTTTAGCAGAAGAGGCCGCTCGATGGCCGCTCGACGTGAAATGCGGGTGGGAGGGGAAAGGGGGCAGGGTCGATGAATGGCCACGGAGCAAGCAGATGTGCCTGGTGCACATTATTAGGTTACTGTACAGTCTCAGGGATTACTTCTCTATGGTTGTCCGGATCTGAGCGTAGCGTATTTTCGGTCTAACAAGGGGGTGACACAGAGAAATAAATAGATACTTGGTCAATTATTTATTTTTTCACTGCTGATTTGCACCGATGCGGGGTTTACGATGTAGCCCACCTTGGTGTCTTGTCAAAGGTGTGTCGGCTTTGAGTGGTACTCTTGAATTGCGCCTCCAGTCTGGAGTAGATTCCCCCTGCTGGCTGCAACAGTTCACACATACTCACATTGGGCTGAAATAAGTCCTCGAGCGATTTGGTTTGGTTGAGAATTTTTTTTTTTTTGTGCCTTGAGTGACCATTCATTTGCGCGTACGCTGTCAGGAAGAAGTCAAGCTAACTGCAGCCACAATTGTTCATGCCATGCATGAGTGTAATTTATCCGAATGCCTGATTATTCAACATAATTTTCAGTAGGATATCTGAATGCCAAAATATTTGATAGCTTCATCCCTACACACACAGCAAATAAATCCAAGGAAACTCATACGTGGCATGTATTGCCACATATTGGACACACACCTCTTTTGTGTCCTTGGATCTGTTTTGCTCCTGGTCTCCAAAGCGCATCTTGGTGAGGTAGTCAATGATCTCGGCCATGCGACGCTGATCTGTTAAGGAGACAATTGAGGTGTTATCATGTAAATGTGCTTGACTGCAAGCGCTGAGAGCTATTTAAACATCTCCACAAAATGTGTTTACCTTCTTCTCTCTGAGCATCCTGGTTGTACCGCATGGAACGAGAACTGTCCCACTTACTTTTCTGGACACTCACTCTACAGCACAAAAATAACAAGTGGTCACTTAGTTATTTAGCAAAAGTATCTTGTAGAGTTAAAGCCGCTTTTCAAGAGTGAAAGGAATGCCAGATGGTGCTGTGTTCCCCCTATTTATTCTTCACAAAGAGCAGTGATCTAATTGCAGAATTCCTTCCATTCATTTTCTTGACTGCTTGTCCACATTCTTGTCAAAAGGGTGCACTGGAGCCAATCCCGTCTCACTTTTATGGTGAGAGGTCACAACCTGCACTGGTCACCAGCCAATAACAGGGTACATAGTAGACAAACAGCCATTCAGACTTGCGTTCACCTCTATGGACACTTTCAAGTCTTCAGTCAGTCGAGCACACACGCGTTTGGAATGTGGGAGCGGATGAATCGATGAATATTATGTGTTTCATGAGATATTTTTGGACTCAAAACAGTCTTGATGGGTGTGACTGACATCTTTTGACACAAGTGATTGATGTTGCCTGGGCCTGGACAATGTATTGAATCATGACAACATTACAATAATGTTATTGTTTCCAAAGATGAACTCACACGAAAGGGCTGTTGTCTCTGGGCTGTGACTGTAGCAAGAAAATCAAACACAAGTTTGAAAAGTCAAATATGTCAAGTACTGTTTTTAATGTAAATAATATTATTCAGCATTGTAGTACCGTTCATAATGTATATCCGAACTGTGACTCACTTTGTCCGGTTTGACTTTTCGGTGGAGGTTTGGCGAGGACATTTGTTTTTTAAGAACTCTGTTGTTCTTGGCCTTCTTGGCAGCTGCAGACACACAAGAACATGAGCAGATAACTTTCGGAGACATCTGACACCATCTGCTGGTCAAGGAAAGAAATTGGACGTGTCGATGTAAAGTGTACATTCATTCATTCATTCATTTTCTGAACCGCTTGTCCTCAATCTGTACATAGTTTACTCTCTCATTGCCATCAACCCATTTTCAACACCATTTATTCTTAACAGTGTCGCGGGGGTGCTGGAGCCGAGCCTATCACTCACAGCCATTTATGAAAAAAGAAAAAAAGCGAACCTATTAAGTGCCAGCCAATCAAGAGCATTTTAGCTGATCTTGCAAAACTTAATGACTATTTCGTTTTATGTCTACGTAAACACAGCAACTACCAAATGAAAGATTTGACTCTCTTCTTCCATCCCAAAACAAATTTTGTTTCTACCTCATTCCAGTTTTTAGGATCGAGCACTAGAATATGGGTTGGTTTCTGCAAAATCACCTATTTGGAACAAAAAATGCAGAAAGCAAGCTTTTGATTTTGATGCTAATAAATTTTCCTCGAGTGACCCCTCAATCATCTGAGCAGTACTTTTTTTCGATAAAATACCAACAAAAACAACAATGAAAATGTGCTTTTGATGGCAAAATATTGTTCAATATTTACAAACATCAACACTATAACAATTTATTTGAAGGCTATTTCGTTGTAGCATTTAGTAGTGTGTGTGTGTGTGTGTGTGTGCGTGTGTGTGTGTGTGTGTGTGTGTGTGTGTACATCATGTTATAATACAGTATAATGTAAATAATCGCCGCTCTTTTCTGACACTATAGTAGAGACAAAGTGCATTTATTTAAAAAAGAAGAAAAGCCTTTGAATACACATACATGTCATGCTTTTAAGCATAAAGACACTCAATTACTTCGCAGAAGGGCAAACGACTTTTCAAAGCATACTGTTCAGAAAGGGAGCAGTAAAGCCAATTTAAATGTCCAAGATAAAACCGGGAAATCAGGCATTTCACGTATACAGTAATGCAGCTTGATATTCGGAGTACATGCTGAGGACATCAACTGCATTATTAATATTGTGCAAATGAACAAAGGGCTGCATGTCAAAATGAAGTTGAATAATAATAAAAAAATAAAAAAGAAGAAAGAGCATTAAAAGTCTTTGTGCGCAAGTGTAGCCGCTTGAAATAGAAACGATAGGAATCAAACAGTGAGGCAAGCTGTTAAAAATAGTTTCTTAATCTGTGTGCACTTCACGTCATTGACTCTATGTGTCACTGACAGGCTCACTATTTTGGTTCCGAGCAGACAAACCAGGAGTTGTTGGACCTCCAAGTCAGAAACATTTTGAGGGCACCGTGAAATATTACAATTTAATTTCCCATTTCAATATTCGCGACAGTTGATTTCTTTTTAGGCTTGCATGGCAGTTTAACTCTTTCAGGGACAGTGGTTACGACAGTGGACCGCTGATCATGTTACCAGGTTACAGGGTGCATGAAAGGGTTCACAAAATCTGAGGTCTGCAAGCATCCTGAAACATTTTATGTTCCACTTTTGAGGTTCCACTTGTAGCCGCGGTTAACATGCTTTGGATTTGGATTGTTCCGATGAATAATTCAAACGAGGCCACTTCATTTTAACTCATTCAATCCCAGCCATTTTCACTGGAGCAACCCCCTCAATCCCAGCGTTTTAACTGGATTTTGACTGATCGTGCAAGGCCCACAGAATATTTGGTTCTAATGCGATATAAACATGGAGCCTACCAAAATAAAGTTTGGACTCTCTTCTTTCAGCAGAAAAAAAAAATGTTTCTATCTTTTTCCATTCTTCAGCAATCGGCATTACAAAATGGCTAAATTTCATGAAAATGGCGATTCCTGGGCAAAAAAAACGGAGAAAAAGAGCTTTTTGTAAAAGCATGCATTTCAAGCACATGATGCACCACTGCCACCTACTGGCCGCTTTTTTATATGATTTACAATGCAAACGGCTTATTCTGATTCACAGATTGCATCAGACCCTCCTCCTCTCTATGAAGCAAAAAAAGACTTAGACGTACAAGTACGTCTTTGGTAGGTGGGGCCTAATTTTAAAAAGAGTACAAGTACATCTTGTGGAATGAAAGAGTTAAATTTGGGAAGCTGATCCGAGTGTTGGGCGATGGGATGAAAACTGTGTTTCGCCAACAACACTCCTTCACTACCGACATGAAATGGACGTTAAAGGGTGAGCAAAAGGGCGTGACCCGCACACAAAGTACAAATTCACCGAAGACTTGCGCCGCAGAACAACAAATTCCCAGTAGTCATGTTGAGACTTCAGGCTGCGGCTTCTTCACACGACAGTTGCTCGGCGCCATCATCACTGTCGTGTCAGCGTGCCCTAACAAAATGTTGCCTGAAACAAGCGTGTTGCCATGGAAACATGGCCTTAAAATTGAGGTCGTCTGGCAACAGCATAGTTAACGTAAATTTAATGGGCATCATTGAGGCAATTGCAAGCTCCCTCGATTGTATAAGTGTTGGATCATTCAACTATGTGTCGAACATTTTAGAACGCCATTGACTACCACTGACCTGAACTAATTTTTTGGGGGGGGATAAAAATGTGCTTTGAAAGGCAGTTTGCACAAGTCGTAGTTAAGTGCCCCTAAAGATGGCATGCATATGTTTTCT